GGGTGCAAATGGTGGCGACCCAGGAGGCCCGAGGAGGGGGCTCGCCCGGCAGTTGCCAAAAGGCCGGGGGCGGGGGTTGGGGCCCGAAGGCCGAGCAGCGGGCCGCGCGGTAGGCCTCCAAGATCTGGAGGAGGCGGGGGATGCCCGAGGGGTCGAAGGCGCGAACTCAATTCTGTAGACGATCCGCGCGCTTCCGCTTGAACCGTACCTCGCGAAAGATAATCTTGCCGGCGGCTACCTCAAGGTCGTGGGCTTTGATCGGAAAGGCGGAGTCCCCTCTGTTGAAAAAGGCGAAGTCCAGCGCCAGTAGGAGGACAGCGCGCAGTTGAGGGAGGGGGGCGTCGAGGGTGATCCAGTGCAGCAAGGTAGACAGGGTGCTGGCCGGAAAGGGGGTGAGCTGGTCGCGGGCCTCGGTGTTGGCGATCGCGAGGCGCCAGGAGGCCAGAATTGCGTTGGATGCCGTAGAGGTAGCAGACCAATTGTCGACGCCGAACCAGCGATGCACTGTGGTAATTGCAGTGAGATATTGCGGTGCCGAGTAGACGTTGATCCCCGACTGACGCAGTGTGTCGATGTAGAGCAGGATGCGGCCGCGATGGGCCAGGACTGGCGAGCAAGGGACCGAGCTGCAATACCGCCACCACCGCTTGATCTTGGAGATGATGCTGGAGCGGCCCGATGGGGCGTTGGACGTGGACAGGGCCCGGAGGATGGAGGCGGCCTCGACAGCGGAGAGGCCAGCGACGACCGGGGGCGAGAAGGAGGGGTCCACGAGGGGCGGCCACGAGGTAGGTGGACGGAAGAGTGTTGAGAGTGAACCCTGGAAGGAAGGGGGGGCTTGAACAGTGTTGTCCTGCCGAAGTGTGAAATCCGCTGTAGGACGCTCTGAGCCCGCCAAGGGTAGAGTGGGCGCGGGTCGCTGGAGGCGAGGGCGCTTGGATCCACCGGAGGGGGGCGGGTCTTGAGGGGTCGCAGTGGGGCTCAGTGGAGCGGCTCGAGATGTTCGAGCTGGGCTGAGCGCATGAGGCGCTGCCACTATCGGGACCGCAAAGCAGCCACCATAGGAGGTGGCGGGGCGGGGCGGTCCACGCGAAGCGCCACGATGCGCCACCTCGGAAGGCCCTGGGGCAGGTGCCCTGAGCGTCCGGAGAGGAAGGTCGAGGGGCCCCGAGGAATGGGGACCCGAGCCCAGGCGATGGAGTGGAGCTACCAGTACCAAGGCTTGCGGATCCACTCGGGCACTAGAACAGTGGCGTGCACCGAGGGGAGGCTGGTCAGGAGGGCGACGACACGGGGCAACAACGTCCACGGGGCGTTGATCCAGTTGTTGGCGGTGCACCAATCGGGTGCGGAGAAGGCGTCGCCTTCGGAGCCAACGTCTCCCCAGCGCGAGTTGTACCGAAGACAATGCCGGTTGAGGGCGGAGGCGAAGCGGTCCACGTGATGGGCCCGAAGAGGGAGTCGAGGAGGCAGAAGAGGGGCGGGTTGAGTTGCCAGTCTTTGGAATTGCGTAGTCGGGACAAAGTGTCCGGGAGAACGTTGTCGGCCGTGGGGATCCAGCGGGGTTGGAACACGATCCGGGCGGTGTCCAGAATGTAGAACAACTGCTGTAATCTCTTGTAAAGTGGATCGACGTTGGACTTGAACGATCGCAGCAGGTGGTAGACCACTTGGGAGTCTGGCATCAAAAGCACATGCCGGCCCTGGAGCCGGCTCAGAAAGAAGCGGACGGCTCGGATCACCGCTTCGAGCTCCAGCACGTTGATGTGCAGGAGCCGCTCGGTATGGGACCAGAACCCCCGTGCCAAGGCTGGGGCTGCGTGGGGCTGAGCCAAGGGCACTGGATCTGTCAACTCCGCCCCCCAACCCAGAAGGGAGGCATCGGTGGCGAGCACGGCCTGATGCGGGGGACGGAGGAAGGGGGCCGATTGAAAGCGGGCCGGTAGCCGCTGCCAGAATTGCATCGCGCGTAGGGCTGCCCGGGGAAGGCGGACCATGCTGCGCCACGTAGTCCTGGTGGCCAAGGCCTGGTGGAGATTCCGCTGAAAGAAACGGGCAAGCTTCACTGCCAAGGCCAAAAACTGAACTTGTCCCAGGAAGCGGGCGAGGAACTTGGCCTTGAGGCACCGGGCTTGACGGTAAGTGATGGCCAGCAGGGTCGTGGCCTGGACTCGAATTTGATCGACCTTCGGGGGAGGGACCGCCAAGGTGGCTGACCTGGAGTTGACCACAAAGCCCAGGTGGGACAACTCCTGGGTAGGGAGGAGCGTCGATTTGGACAGCTTGAGCTGCAAGCCCAGATCGTGCAGGGCGGGCTGCAAATTGAGAGCAAAACGACAGAGATCCCGGCTGGAACGATGCACCGCCAGGAAATCGTCGAGGTAGGGCAGCAGAAAAATTGCCAGATTGGCGTGCCAGATGGCAGCGAGACCCGGCCACCACGAGTGGGGCTGCCGGGGCACGCTGAGCCGGGGGGCACGCAAAAAACGGACGAGCACTGTCACCGCTTTCGAAAACACGTAGGCGGACGACTTCAAACAAAACGGGAGCACCGGGATCTCCCAAAGGAGGCCGTTCACCCATATGGTACAATAGCGCAAATGCGCTCGGTGTAAGGCCACATGAAAGTAGGCATCGGCAATATCCCAAGCAACCATATAATCGCCCGGTTGCATGCCAAATTCCAGCTCGCGCAAGGAGGCCATCCGTAATCGGCGATCCGCGATGAACGCATTGAGAGGCCGGAGATCGACAATCAGGCGCTTGGAGCCATCGGGCTTTGGGAGCAGAAATGCCCGGCTGACATGTGAAGAATAGGAAGCCGGCCGTAAGGCACCAAGCTGCAAGTATTTCTCCAAAGTGGCCTCCCAAATGGGCAGATCGTCGCCTTGAAACACAGAATTGCCCATATCGAACGGGGTAGGAGGGCGAGAGAAACGCAGTCGAAAACCCTCGTTGATCCAAGAGAGGATGGTGAGATTGGCGCCGATCCACCGCCAAGCCGCAATGGCATACCTCACACGCCGGTAAGGGAAGTTCCGCGGATCGATCCGAAGCTTCCTCCACAAGGAGCGGGTCCGCTTGGCTGCCAGGGCCGGGCTGGTGCCGGGGAAGCGCGGCATGATCGGTGGCGGCAGCAGGTGGGGCTGGAGGAGGCGGCGGAGCCGCAGCCAGAGGGGCCTGCGCACGGCCAGTAGGGGCCTTGGGGCCCAGCAGTTCGAGCGGGGGAGCGTCGGGGAGGACGAGGTCCCGGTTGTACGCCACGTCAGCGGGAGGAGGGGGGCCCAAGGCCGGCAACTGGGCGCCCGAAGAGGACGCCGCGCCCGCGTCTGGAGCCGGCGGGGCGGGAGTCGGGGCCGCCCGTCGGGGGACGGCCGTCGCTCGCCGCCGGACGGTGTACCACGGGGCCATCAATTGGAGGCGCTGGGGGCACCTCCGCCGAAGTTGCATCCGCGGCCGCGGCCACCGGATCCGCGACCGCCGCGGCGTCCGCGCCCGCGCTGGCCACCGCGGGGGCGGCCTTCGTGTGAAGAGGCGGCGCGGGCGGCGGCCTGCTTCTGGACGGCGGCCACGACCTTGTCGGCGATGCGGCGGTCAAAGTCGACGATTTCTTCGGGAACGGCAGCGTAGTGCGCCCTGGACAGGCGGAGCTGCGTTGAGAAGGTGCGGCGATGTCGCCGCCGTGCTTCGCGCGCAATTCGTGCACATGCACGTTGCAAAGGGCGCCTTGAAGCACGGCGTGGAGGGCATCGACGATGCCTCGAAGTTGGCGGCGGGAGTCGGGGGAAAAGTCCTTGGACGACGTAATCTGGACGAGGGTGGCGACGATGTCGAAGAGGTAGGAGGTGACGGGGGCCCAGGCGCAGAGCTCTTGGAAGAAACCGCTGCTGGCGCCCAGGGTGGTGGCCAGATCTTGGCCCCAAGCCGTAGAGGAGATGGGGAAGGGGGGGGCGGCCTTGTTGGCGGAAGGGGGCCGCGGAATGGGGTTCCCCGCGAAGTGGGACAACTCCTCCTTGGTGCGAATGGCGTGGGCGGCGACCTCCTCCGCCCGATCGCCAGTATACCGAATGCAGAGATCCCGCAGCGTCGTCAAGAGCGCCGCGTCGGCCAGCTGGACTTGACGGAGGCGCTCCTCCTCCGCAGCGGCAGCAATGGCCGCGGGATCGGCGGGGGGCTGCGCGGGAGCGAGTTCCCCGCGGAGTGCTTGGACTTGCGCTTCAAGGGCGGCCAAGCGAGCAGCAGGATCGCCCATCAAGGGGCGTACCACAGACCAGCGGGGTCTGGATTGCTATCACGATCGCAGATCGTGATCGATTGCTTTCCTTAGCTAGGAAACCGAGCGCGGAGCTCGGAGGAGAACGCTTGACGCGTGACGGCGAAGCGAAAAACGAGATAGCCACAAGCTCGTTTCGCCAACCTTAAGTCCCAAGTTCCCCGTTTGCCCAGATCACTGTGAACCAGTTTTTCACTGGTGCAAACAGCCGCTCAGTTCGGTTCCTGGGCTTCATAACCAACCGCGCCCGGTTCGCCCAGGCGCTGCCCATAACTTGACCACAACTTTAAGAATAGCGGCAAACTCTTTCTCACTGAGCCTTGGCTTTCCAAGCTTGAGAACCGGCAGCGCCATCCATCTAACTCCAAGTGCGCCAAGTACTAAAACCTTTGCTGGCCGTTCAAAGGTTCCCACCCAACGGCCCAGTACCCGATTTAAACCTATTCACTGCATTGCATTTCGTAAATCTCGCATCCACACTCGTTCCCCCTCAAGTACCACAACAGCCTCGTTGCCCACATGACGACACTCAGCTGAGTGCAGCCTCCCTCGCCCTGAACCCCACCTAGCCTGGAACGCCGGGACGACGTGCAGCTGTGAAACTGCGCTTGGCCGCCCGTCATCTCCTTCCTGCCCGGCAGGTTCAGCGGAATCCTAAAAGGAGCGCTGGGCACTGCGCCAAGCCATTCGCGTGGCGGCCATTGACCGCCCACAGATTTCCGCGAGGATGGACTGCGGCGGCGGCCGGATATCGGACCGCGGGGCGATCTTCTCTTCCGACGGGCGGTGCGTCCTGTCGCCCGGCGGCGGGGCCGTGCACGTGTTCAGCAGGGCGACGGGGGCGCGGGTGGCGTCGCTGAAGGCGCACGACGACGAAGTGACCACGGTGCAGCTGGACCCCGGAGACCCGACGAGAGTGCGGAACCCACTGCCTCGCGCCGTTGATCGTTGTTTCCAGCTCGCGGATGATAGTGTCCGGTTATCTGGCAGCGCGCCAACAGGCCGACGACTGATGAAAAGGTTGGCGAACGGCGAAATTGGTCGGAATGCCACAAAAAATTTGCAGCGATTTCCTCGCTGACTGTTGCTTTAAGCAGAAATTTACGACCAAATGAACATTGGTGCGTGCCATGTGTTGCTTTTGCTGCTACCCTGTTCTGAATCTGACTTGGATGTGTCAATGGCTCCCAGGTTTATGCTGCATCGTTGGATGGCTCTTTGTCAGTGTGGGACTATGCACACCAGAAGCTGATTAAGAAGATTGAAGTTTCAAACCCTGTCTGCAGCATGGTGAGCCACTTCCAAGGTTGCTACCTTACCAGTCAATGCTGAGGTGCAGACAAGTGGTTCATTGCCACAACAGGCATTGAATGAATGACAATGCACTGGTAATTATATCCTCTCACATTCCTGCAGACTACCAGCTGTGGCTGTACTGCCACTGTTCTTGGCTCTGTGTTTTCATCAGGTTTCGGTTTTGTGAAATCGAAAGCTCTGGTATTCTGCTTTTTTGTGAACAATGATCCACAATTGCTCTGAGTGTGAACGATGGATCCAGAATTGCGATGTGTCTGGGCTTTGAAGTCATTGTAGTGGGCTGCACTTTGTCTTCTGAGGCAAAGTTGACTGGTTACTGGACATGCCAAGAACCATTCACTCACACAAATGGTCTGTCTCAGCGGATTCCTGGCCCTCGTTGTGGTCCCATCCATGCCTCCTGGCTAAATGCATAAAGCCTGCATAGCGGTAAAATCACGAACAGAACTGCACCATAGTGGGCTGCAAGTCTGTTCATTGGGGAGCATTGAAGCAAGCTGCTGCTGCAAACACAGCTGCAGGCAATGGATACTACAGCCAACAGTTCAGGTTGTGTTGGGAGGGCAACCAGCAGCTTGTGTCTGCTGATATTTGTCATGGCGCCATGGCATAGGTGATTCCAAGCAATGGAGCATCAGCAGTATTGTGCTGCAAGACCCAAGGATCAAAGGGGCAGGTAAAAATTTGTTTCCTGCTAATTATTCCTACTTGATGTACAGTGTGCTGTGCGCACATGCTTTCTCCAAGCTCTCAGAGCTGCCTGGCAGCTGATGCTGTGCAATTATTGATGTGTTCAGCGTTAGGCTTGTATAATAAGTATTGAAAATTGTTTTCTTGCTGTCTGGGTGCTCATTCATGTCTGCGGCAGTACTGAGGCCTTGGCCAGTGCTTGATAGCTTTGCCACAGAAGCTGAGACAAACATTCTTGTGGACAAAAACCCTGAGATTTCGGCGAACTGTCTGAATGCATCTTGCTGAGACTGAGAGTTAGATGGACAGCTGAAGATGTTCTGCTGGTCGTCTGGTGCAGATCGTTCGTCTTGATCTTCAGATTGGCAGATGGTGGGGTGCAATAAATGTGGCTTCACCTTGCCAGCTCGTGTGCAGCCCCTCGGGGAAGTTCTTTGGATACTGGCTGGGAAATGAGCTTTGGATAAAGTCAACAAATCATGATAAAGAGGTCATGTTTGTGGGACCAAACCCTTTCGTGGTAAAAACTGCCCTGGTGACTTTGCCATGACAGAATGCCTCATCCTTCTCCATGGTTTGTCGTAATTTGTTTACACTTTGTCAAGCAGGTTAGACCTCTTGTTCTGATATTGTGATGAATCGATACCTTGCAGACTGGCCTGGACTTTGACATTGCTGCAATGGCACATTCCTGGCAGTATGTGTGTTTCGACAGCTACTGCAGTGTCCTGCTAATGTTTGGTGCGGTGCCATGGGAATGGTACTGGTGTGTAAAAGTGGCACACAGACAGTTCAGGCATGTGCTGTCATTCATTTGCAGTTGGACACCAACTTTCATCACTTGGATGTGCACTGCGATCTTCTTGTGCGGAGGAACAAGGCCTTCCTTTTCATGATGCTGGGCGCTCAACTGTCAACCAGTCTTTTGATGTTTAGATTTGTCTGTGCCACAGTGTGTGACTTTTGGCAGCGATGATAAACGGCTTGCTGCAGGTGATGCAACTGGGCGCATCAGTCTATGGAATGACTTCACTCCAGCAGTGGACAAACAGGACCACTGGCACCTGAAGAATACAAGGACAGTTGTTCACTGGCACGCCAACAACAACTGTCTGCAGAGTTTATGCTTCAGCCCTGATTGTGTTTTCTTGCTGTCTGGAGGCAAGGAAGCAGTGTTGGTGAGTTGGCAACTCATAGCCATGGTCCCTTGCAAGTGGAGGTTGAGAAGATTCTGATGAGAACTTCTACCCAACATCAAGTCTGCTGATTGGTGTTTTCAACAATTGAGACATTGAACAGAAAACCTAGCTGAGACGACAACAATTTCGTGATACCTACGTTGCATTGAAGATGATGGCTGTGATGCTGTCCAATACACAGCGGCCTGAACAGCAGTTGTGGATCCAGCTGAATGAGGGCATTGGAGATCATTAGGAGTACATGATTGGGCACTAACTGGGGCGCATCATTCCTGGCCAGGTCATCTGGGAAGTAGAAACTCTGCAGAAGCGTTTCTTAGCACGCCTGGGCAGCACAATCTTGAGCATCAGTGTAAGCCCAAGGGACCCCGCTCTTTATGTGCTTGGACAGGATGGCAATGCAATCAGAGTGGTCAACACAGCAACGGACAAGGTATGCTGGCCCTTCTGCACAGATGCACCTCTCACAGCTCGAATGATAGAACAAATTGCAGGCAAAGGGGTGCATGTGGTAACCCACGTTAAGTTCAGATCGATTGGACACTTTAGAGTGCATTAGTTGCAGTTCTTTCATATCGATTTGTGCACATCAGCATGGGTCCATGATATCTTCTCAAGGGGCGTTTCAAGCGCTCTGCATACTGTCGCTCCTTCATATTGCCTTTTGGCCTTGTGGATGTTGAGGTTCATTGGACAATGCATTGGACCAAGTGATTCTATATGCACACAACTTTTGCTCCTATATATTATTTCAGGTTCAGTGCTACAGTGCCAACACGCCAACTTGGGATATTTTAACACTGGGTTGAAATCCCCTTCTCCAATGTACAGATCCACTGTCGCGCTGTCTCATATTTGTATCCAGCCCAAGAGGACATCCTTGAGCAGGGGCGCTGAACTCCAGTGTCGAAGTGTCATTGTTAGTCAATGATCCCCATCCTTCGGTTTCAAAGTGCGACGACCTGTTGTGCAAAGCCCTGCAGACAGTCAGTGAGTATATCACATATGTCCGCGCTGTCCCAGTTTTGCGATGCTGATTAATGATTGCCACGTGCTGCAGACTGAGTGCTCGATCCTGGGTATCTCTCCTTGCCCCCGTGGGACAGATGGCTGCCAGAGCACTGCAGCCTCTGTGATTCAGCCAGGCTCTGGGTACCTGGTGGTGCCTACCAATAACAGTGTACTCCAGTTCTACAATGTCAGGAGGAACAAGCACGTCGCTTACCTGCAGGTCAGTGGCAAGAACTTGCTTTTCGGGTTATACAGGAGTCTCTTAGCAACATGATAAGTGTTGACGATGGAACCCAGCAAACCAGGTCAGCAGAATCTAAGGGCAGAGTTTCTTGGTCAATGACAACAGTGATAACCCATGGGAAGACAATGGAAAGAAGAAGCACACAGACAGCCCCATGGTACCAGACTCCACGAAACAAGGTCCAAAATGAATCGCAGCTGCTGGTGAAAGAAGATATGTGTTGAGCTGTGCTAAAGGGACTGGGGGCTGACCTGGGAACTTTGTGGATGTGCAGACGGCCCCCCGCAACCAAGTGTCACTAACTGAGGCAGAAATGGACAAGGGCTCCAATCCTCTGGGCCCCCCAGCAGAGCCACATGTCTCAGCATTGGCCTTCAACCGTGATGCGAGTGTGCTGGTGACAGTGGGCACTGTGCCACAGCCAGGTCCCTCACACTGTGTGAGAACAGAACTCAAGTTTTGGGATGCTGCTGGGCATTCGCAGGAGCCATACGAGCTGAACACAATTGTTAATGATCCCCACGGGTAAGGCATCAAGGTGCCAATGAACCTATGCATAGGCGCAATGTAGCAATGGATTGGCAATGAGCCAGTGCAGGAAAAATGTAGTGAGTGCTGTGAATCCAAGCAGTTCTTGAGCGAATTCATCAGACTGTGCCAGTGAGTGCTTGATGCAAGGTGCTGAAAATTGTTCTTCAATTGCATTTGGCATACTCGATCATCATTGTCACATGGCAAAGTTAAGTCGTAAAATAAGGGGGAGTGGAAGGAAACACTGGTGAGTGCATAACTGAAGCGTAGCTCTGCGTGATATGGGGCAAGACACGTGGTACATTGTTTTGCGACATAGGTAAGTGTGACAAGGAAATGCAGGGGTCATGTGGGCAGAGTGCCGTGTTAATAATACCCTCCAATGCTTTTCTTTAACGCATTTGGCTTTGCCCTAGATTGGGACAGCACAAGCAGTTTTCATGTCTTGCGATATATTGCAAACAGCCAATTGCCTGCCCCTGGCATTCGGAAATTTTGATTGACTTCACAACAAAGAATATTCCTTGCAGAAAGACAGTTGGAAAGAAATCGATTTACATGGGAGCATTGATGGAGCACATTGTGGTGCAGTTGCTTGGAGAGGTGGCATCTAGTGGGGTCATTGGCGTCTGCAGAGCAGGACTGGAGTATGCAATGTGTGACATCACTTGTGTCTCCACGTTGGTTTTAAGGATGCGATAACTTTTATTCACAGCAGCAAATGTTCCCAACTGCTGTGCATGCAGAGCTTTGGGGGCGTTTCCAATGCAGACATAGTGGTGCTGGGAAATTGTCAGTGCTTTAGCTATGTTATAGCACTGTGCAACACCGATCAATTGCTTATGTTGTCTGTGGGAGCACCATCTCTGACCACCTGTTTCTGCGTCATTCTGACAGGGGTCTGGTGTCATCTTTGTGCTATTCTCCAAGCGATGACTCTGCAGTAACCACGAGCTCAAGTGGTGACTTCAAGGTTTGGCACAGGAGAGGCTGTGGAGACGTCACTGCCTGGCATTGTCGCTCGGTTGGATCGTACAGAGGTGACGCCCTGGTGGTTGGTGTTCACATAGACAAGGAAGGCCGCCCATTAATTGGGGGAATGTATTGCAGCTGCTGATTCATATGGATAGTTTACATTGCAGAGGAACGGCTAATGCACGGAATGCAAACAGCTAATAGATGTTGGTGTCTGTGTGAGTGCGTCTCCTTCAAATGCATCCTTGTACTACCCCTTTAGCGCTGTATTCTGATCTGTTGGCACAGTAGACTATGACATCAGCCAAGCTTTGAATATGCATGAGCAGATGAATAAATATAGTTGTGGCCAAGATGATGCTGGCCCAGATACTGATATCACGGCAGGCCACATTCTGTTGGCTGGCAAGGATATTGTGGCTGCACAATCTACTGGAACTTTCCACACAGGGTGATGTTGGAACTGGCAGAATGTTCATGATGGTGCAATTTGGCACAACAGGGGAACCACTAAGAGGGAGCGCCTTCTCTGGCGACGGATCCTTATTGGCCATCGCTGCAGAAACTGCCATTGCACTGTGGGAGCCGCATTCCAATTCGTTGGTCGGGCGGCTGCCCCTTCCTGACAGGCCGTTTCCAGATGCCTCGCCCCGGATGGTGCTGCACCTTAAATTTGTGCCAGAGACAGTGTTTTTGGTGAGCTTGGCAGTGCTGCATTTTTCTGTATAAGCTTGTGAACGTCGGGACACTCTGCTGATAATCTATGGGGCATTCTCCACCTTGCAGCAGCCTCAAGGTAGGGGGTTACTGAGTGTGATGGTGAAAGTGTTCCGTAAGGAATGGATGGCAGCCAATGTGGGCTGAAAAAGGGTCTTGCACATCTGAGACCAGTATAAATGGTACTCAGATTCTGAGTTGGCACAGAGCCAAGAGGTTGAAAGAGAGTTGGATTGGATGCTGGGAATTGGGGCACCTCTGGCTGAATGGGGTCTGAATTTTCACACGCCTCCAGATTCTCCAGGTGTCGCTTGTAGCTTTGATGCTATGGGGTGCTTATATCAAGGTGCAGTGGCGACCACTAAAGTCGTGCATGTCCTTGCAACAGTTTTGTTGTGATAGTTCTACAGATTCTACTGCTTCAGCTGTTCATGCCATGACTCTCAGCTGTGTTATCGCAGAGAAGGCGAAGAATGCAGAGGTCACTGACTCTAGTGGGCAGCTCCTCTTGTAGTGGTACATAGCATCAGTTGATTTCTGACTTCTGCTGTAGTTGGCCTTTGTTCCATAGAGTATTCTTTCGCTGCAGTTTCTTGTCCTTGTGTATAATCAACATTGATGCTGTGGTGGGATTTCTTTGCAAGTGATGGAACACACGCCAATGGAGATAACCTGTTATCTCCATTGGCGTGTGTTCCATCACTTGCCTGCTTTACTGGTGTTTGAGTGCGGTTTGGCCCCAGTCAAGCACCTGATGTGCTCTTCTCGTAGTGTCTTGGGTGCCGCATGGGGCATAGATTGAAGAGGTGCTGAAGACACCCAAGATTCATTGCGAGTCTTGGACAGAAGAAAGCATCAACAAACCTTTGGTGGACGAATCGGTAGAACTGTTAAAATGTCATGGAAGGCAACAAGCTCACTGAGGGCCACGTGGATGCCATAACATGATTTTGCTGCTGCAGCTCTGCAGAAAGCGGAGAGCTGCACCACACCAAATTTTGCTGTGCAGCACTGTAGGGATAGACATTCACTGCACAGCACGGTGCACTGGACAAACTGTAAAGTACTCAGTACAATACTATGGCTGTGAAGTGCTGTTCTGTACCACTGCGCAACGCTGCTGTATCACTGCAGGCTGCAGGAGCACGATGGTTTCTTACTCCTCCAACCAATACATCGCACTTCAGCACGATTGCTGCACGTTGGGCATCCACATTCTTGATGCTTGCTCTCTGTGGCAGGTGGGGTGCTGCGGCTGGCCGTCCCCTAGCCTGGTTGTGTGGAACGTGGCAAGCTTGTCCATATGGTGGACTGCATTGGTGCCCTGTCTCTCCCTCACTGTGGATCCTTTGAGAGGCTGCTTCGCTGTGTTGGTTCCCCACATGGACGGAACGCAGAGGTGAGGAACAGAACATGCAATTCTTGTGTTCGATTTGAAGGCCCCGGTGTCATTGCCAGCATCAGTGGTCCCTGCACATGAGGTGCACCTGATTTGATGAACCCAGTGCGTTTCAGACAACGACGCTGGCTGCGACATGACAGTGTGTGTGCACATAGATGAGCGATGCGTACATTTTCTTATCCAACACCAGTAGGTGTCAATATACGCCAGCTGTTTCTGTCCCATGAGTACAGTCTTTTTTTTCACACTCTGGGCTGTGGTGCTCTGATGCAGCAAGTGCGTGCAATTTTCTCTCATCGAGCAAATGCGGGCCTTGTGTGTACAGTATTTGGGCCAGGCTTGCTCGCCATGCAATTGAGTGCACGGATGGGATGTGCATTTCTGCAGCGCCAGGGGTGGACCGAATAAAGGCCACTGCTACGGTGGTTTCGCAGTGTCATTTGATCCGAATTCGCCGGAGCCCCAGGGCATGTGGTCGATCCCACATGGTCCGGCCGCCTGCATCCACTTCCCCCCAGCAGGAACGGAGCTCGCAAAGGCACAACGCACTGCGCACAGGAGGCACCATTCCCCACTGCTTGTTGTGCTCGAAGACCGTCAATTCGGAATCGTTGGCACAGCCGGTGAGCAGTTGCGCTCACCATGAACAGTGGAAGCAAGTAGCTGTCATAGCCTGTGCTGCTTGGACTCCAACCCCGATGGTCTTCGCAGCTCGCGGACGGACGGGCCGTCCATGAATGAACTTGTGGGAGGCTGCAAGTCCAGTGTGCCGGTCACTGCTCTCCAACCTTTGGAAAGCAGTACCCGACACGCAAGTAGTTGGACAGTGAGCTGCCAGGCTGTTTGTTGTTCAGCCCTATGTTGCATGCTATAGACCGATGCTGGAAGTGAAAAGGTGTAGGCGTATTTTGTGGCGTCAGTTTGAAGCAGCAACATTCCTATGGTGTGCGCACATGATTGCTTGCTTGCATGTATTTCTACGGATTTCTCCTTTCCTTATTTTCCTGTTCCCTCCGACCCATTTGTTTCGTTACAAATGAAGACTTTCCCACTTGCTCCCTTTCTTGATCGCCATTTGCATTGACCGCGTGTCCCGTGTGCTTCAGTAGACGACTCTCTGCTGGCTGACGGCGACGAGCCTGATGCCCTGAATGAAGGGGAGGCGGAGCCATCCGCCTTTGCTGTGGCGTTTGGCCTCGACACGGCATCGGGAGAAAAGGAAGACCAGGCCATGGATATCGAAGAGGCGGAGCCCGCGGCCAAAACAGCCGACTGGAGCCAACTTGTGGACGCCCCATCTCACCAGCTCCCTCGGATGCAGGCCCTCTGCCGCGACTTCCTCCGCGTCCTCACCACAGCCAGTTCCTGACGCCTCGTGGGTTTCGTTGATCCGCGAACAACACTCGGTGAAATAAGGAGGCCAGCGCATTCGCCGCTGGGGCACCCGCGCTGTAACTGGAACGGAAAAATGCAACGAATTGGTTGCTTAGACGTTTAAATATTCGGGTGAAATTGCATCCGCTCAGATTCCGCCCGTTGTTTGGGAGTTGTCCAGGAAAGAGTCCGTCGGTCCCGAGGCGATGTCGCCGTCTGATCAATCAGGACCACGAACCGGGGTCGACGTCATTGACAAGTGGCGGTTGTCAATCTCGTGCTGTGCTTGTGCCACATGGAATGCCTCTATTCGATTGATTCGGTGGTTCCGTTGTGGGATACGATTCGTGCGCATCCGAGTCTTCAGATTTGTGCTGATGTTCATCCAGCAACAAAAACGAGGATACACCGCGCTGCAGCTGCGAGATCGTTGCATCCACCTCACCAGCTGCAGCTTGAGTCCACACCTCTTCAGTGTTGATGCTAAACGGACCAAACCTTGCGTACATTCCTGCACAAGATGCAAGCCGCATCGAGCATTGCCTGTCACGTTCTTGGGACAATGAAACGGTCCCTTTGCGTGCCCTTCGGAGCCCCGGAGGACCCGTTGCTGATTTTCGGACTGGCCAGAAAACCATGTGACGCATGTTGCACGTGGTACAAGCAGCCGTGAACCCGCTGTGACTACTATTGACGCAGAATATCGCCATGGGGGTGCATTAGACAGTGTAGCTACACGGTGTAGCTTATAGATATACCCCTGGCTACAATCACAATAGCCCATTTGACCATTTTGGCCTGGTTGAGCGCGGGCCCATGCTCGCGACGCCTGCAGGAATATGTTCCAAGACGGTGCTGGGAGAAGGAACCGGGCCTTGAACGGATATTAGCTTTGAATGAAATTCCCTGCGAATGGGGCTTTTGCGTCTCTGGCCAATGCTCGCCTGTGTATTGAAGGCTCGGAGGGAGGTCCCCCAACGTGTACTTCGCCCGCCTGAAATTTGTTCGAATGGCCAGGGCGATGTGTTGTGCTACTTGGCACAATCTGTTGACGCATCCACAATACATGACGCCAATGGGCAAGACGCACGTGCCCGCTGCAGCTGTTGTTGAAACCAATCAATTCGCACAGCGGTCTTCTGTGAGAGAAATCAACGCGGTGCTAAACAGCCACTGACTAAATTCGCGCAAGAAAAGGAATAGAAACAGCCATGAAATGTTCGGCTTGACCATATTCCCCTCGTTCACGACTAATGTCTATCTCAAAATAGAAGCTTGGACGTACAATTCGGGAAGACCCCTAAACCAGTCCCATTTAAAGCCTTTCTGTCAATGCAAATGGTCTGTGCGGGCACCTGCAGACCTGGCGATCTTGAGGAACACATCTTCAAGAGTGGCGTTCGCCAAACCCCAATCCAAGACCTGCAACAGCAAGAGGCACTTTAACAGCAACACGTTCGGAGGCCTGGGATTGCCATTCGAGGGCTCTACCCAGGATCAAAGGAACGGCAACAAAACGGCCGCCTTGAAAACCAGCGTACCGACTGGTACACGAGCGCACAAAGCGTGCACGAACTGCCCCAGGTTTCGGCAACGAGAGCGAAGACAGAAGTTGTCACTTCGTGCTGATGGAGCCTGGACACCAACATTAGCACATGTACTTGAATAACGCCCACACTGCGGCCGCAACTGCTGTATAAGTACAGCTGAGTTGCTCCTGAAGGAAAGGCTCTGACTGCGCGTCTCAGTTTCACAGAGGCTATACCAGTTGACATACAGTCTTTTCAACGGATCTACAAACACGTCCACATTGCCAATGTCTTCAACAGCCATTCTTCAAGGATTCGGCGATGGTACACATCAAGCCAGTCTACCGATATGACCGATTCCTATCAACATTACAACCTATCTCTTGAGGTCATTCTTCCTGCGATTTCGTTGTGGGGTGCATTTTCTGGAAGTCGAGAAACAGCGACACCAAGCGAGACAATCCATTCCAGAATTTTCAAGGCGATTGCGTCCTTTATGCCACTTGGCTCCTGAAGACGAGATCCATTTTCTCTTCCACTGCAAAGCCTACGACGACATCCGTCGAAGCCACTCTTGTATTTTCCGATGTCGCAATGCGAAAGTCCTTTTTGCTTCAGTTTCAGCTCGCCAGCTTGCGAAGACACTTCGTTTGATGTATTACCATCGATTATCGCTTCTAGGCATCGAGAGCTCATAGAATCATAGGTTTAGTTTGTATTTCTCATTAGCTTTCAATGAACCAATCACCGACTCTGCTTTGCTCAGGCAAAATAGGAAGCTGACGGCTACCTCATTGCCTTGTTCTGTAAAAAATAATGATGATGATGATGATGACTGCGCTTGATGGTAGCAGCAAGAGACACATTGTTTTGCTGATTTGCCCCATCTTCCGTCTCCATGACACAACCGCACAATACCTGTATTTGATCTCTTGCTTTCTCAACAAGTCGAAATACGTCACTTGGGTTCACACTCTTTGTCGACAGCTCGAAGGTAAGGGTCCCCGCCAGCTCGTACGTTAACTGGGCCGTTGGATCAAAGCCTTGGACCAGAGCTTTGGCAGCTCCAACATCATCTGCATTCGTTACCAGTGTGAAGACCTGGAAAGCAAGGTTGCGTAAGAGTGTAAATCCATCAACGGCCAATCCTGTGCACGCCAAAGCACTTGCCACATAGTGGACGTCTTTCATTCTTGGCGCTTTCAATACAAGGCTGCGATGCTTATATTCAGCGGTGCTTATCATCAAAGCACCAGGGAGACAATTGGTATCCTAATGGAATACACGACACCCCTTCTTGCCCTGCCAAAACGCAAAATCACTCAACACTCCAAGCCCGTGCGACAGCAGAACAGGGCCATCGGGTGCTCACCAAGTAACCTCCGTATCGTGCTGCCAGTTCTTTCGGGTGGCCAATCACCATCAGCTGTCCGTCAACAATGATGCCCAGGCGATCGCACAACACCTCTGCCTCCTCCATGCTATGGGTCGTCAAAATCGTGGACTTGCCAACCTTGGCCTTCTTCACAACCTCCCACAGACTTCGCCGGGAGGCAGGGTCCAATCCCTGAATGGGGCAATGACATTGCCAGGCCTCAATGGTGGTGCAAAACTTGTGAGCCACAAGCATAAAGAAGAGCGAGGTGTTCCTTGGAAATACACAAACATTGCAGAAAGACTGTTGAGGACACCACACCTGCAACATTAACCCCATAGAGAGTCGATGGTCTCGCACAAACCAGGGAAAATTCCCCTCACCTGCAGCGAACAATTGCACTCCATTCGAAAACGAAGTCGGCCATAGTAAGAGCTACAATCTGCACAAGAAAATTTCAGACAAAAGCTTCACCCACCGTGCTTGGCTCGTCCAGATAAACAATTTTCGGGCTTCCAATGAGCGAAATGGCAACACTGAGTCGCCGTTTCATGCCCCCACTGTACTCGCGGACCATCATGTCCCCAAACCCATAGTTGAAGAGGCGGACTGATTTCAAAGCGGAGTCTGCAGCATCTTGCAGCTCAGCACCGGCCAGCCCCTTTAGGCGGCCATAGAACAAAAGGTGCTCTCTCCCTGCATACAGACACACGGGGACACGGATTCCTCGCTGGTCAGAAGGCTGCACAAAAGCTTGGATGAAAACAGAAAGCTGGTGCAAAGCTGTGTTCAGACTGCTTTCCACACTGGCACCATTCCTTACATGCTGTCCATTCTTTTAATCAGTACGTCAGCAAACACAAATGCGCTCAACAATGGTCATCTGCCTTTCAGGCCGTGCCCATCGTCGATAAGGGTGCACCAATCGTCCCACCTGCTTGTTGATCTATGTCCTTGCCAACCAAACATATTCATTGTCATTGAAACAAACAGTATTGAGAGCCATGCTGTGAGCTCCAATGCCAGCCACTCACCAGTGACAGTGTCCCAGAGAACGTTGTGCTGAGGACACACCCCCATGATTCTGTGCAGCTGGTCCATGTCCGTGTCCAGCCCCAGTCCGGCCACCAGTGCTGTCCCTTCTGTGGGTTGCAAGAACCCAGACAACATGTTGAGGAAAGTGGTTTTGCCTGAGCCATTCGGGCCAAGCAGACCAAAAACCTCTCCACGGCGAATTGCAAGGTCAAGGTTGTTTACAGCCACCTTCAGGAAGGCACATGTCATTTTCAAGTGGAACAATTTGGCTCCAGAGCAATGTAGCTGTTCAGATTTCTCAGGACTGCGACACATGGCGTGCCTTGCAGCCAGGATACACAGGACAGATGCGAATGTACCTTATCCTATCGCGGCCCAGCAGTCCGTTGTGGCCAATAGAATAGCGACAATGTGAATGCAGATTGCAATGGCCAAACCCATGATATTACGCCACAGTGTACTAGACCTTTCTCACTTTTCTCAAGGAGATAACCAAGCAATGATCCCACCTACAATTCAAGATCAGAGCAACTGCGATACCAACTTGATTTTAGAACTACGCCATTGCACCAGCCAGTGTACCCACCTTTTCGGGACCCCCCTGGATGCCGGGAAATACTTTTCGAAGTGAGCGAACAACGATGGAGTGTTCTGAGTCTCCCTTGAGAGGGATCCCAGCAACCCTTGCACGTTCTTCATCAACATCTTGACTTGAAGCGTCAATGTCCACACGCACGTCTGAGGGTCCCAGCAACGGAGCTCCAGCAAGCTCATCACCATCCCCCTCCTTCACTTCCCAGGACATCTGAAAATGGAAACACAAATGCTAACAATTACCAGCAACACAAGAGAACCATGCCAACAATCTTCAAACACTTTCTGCGTTACCCTCCACTTCAGCATACATGGTGACCCGCCAATGCTATCTCAAGAAGTCGGACAACTCTGTTCAATCCACACTTGCAACAAGTGCCCAGAAGCTCTTTGTTATCGCTTCTCTGGCGCAAGGGATGTGCTTTGCCACTGTATGGCACATGCAACAAAAGGAATTATAGTGAGCGTCCAGAGGATATTCACCACCACACCATAACACACCTGCTGTTTCCCACTCTTCCTTCCCTTTGTCCAAGAGCACAGGGACCAGAGGTAATGATACCAAGATCCTGCACCAGCTGAGTGACACTGCAGGACAAAAATGAAATTTTCAGGCACACTATTGGTATCACACAGTACATGCAATCTCTTTCTGCCTGGATACTAAGCAAAAGCACTGTTGGCAGAGTGTTAAAATTTTTGGCCATGTCCATTGCCCGTACCCGATTGGAACATCCCAAACTATACAGCAACGCAATGCAATGAGCACGTGGCTCCACAGCTGGAAGTTTTGGCAACCTGCATTTCTAATTTTGCAGCCAATCAGCAGGCAAGACAGAGATGACAAGAAACCTACATGAAAAGAAGTTCAGTACAAAGTTCTGGTTCACTGGAACATGCCAATTTTCCCAGTGGAGCTTGTTGCAAGGTGCAACTTTGCACATCCACTTCCTGATTCACCAACTTGAAAGCCAGACGTTACGCATGTCAGTTCATGTGTGTGACATACCCTTTCAAGTTGCCAAGCTACCAACAGAAGAATGGGCCACTCCATGAGGAAGGACAGCAAGACAAAGGACATCCCATTTAAGGGGTCCTTCAAATCATTCCACCCCAGACCCGTTGAGTGGCGGTTTGCGGCGCGGAAGCTGTACTCTGCCATTTCATACAGTCCCCTGTAACAACAACCATTTGGATCGCTAAGAGAATGCCCATGCCATTGCAACTGTATGTGGAGAAAGGACTCTGCATACTTTCATTTGACAGGTTGCAGCTGCCCACCGCCAATCAGAGCGCTACTCAGAGTACACTAGGTCATCGCCGACTCAGTCTAGTTTCCATTTTCATGTTGCATGCCCATCTGCAGTTTCCACACCTACAGTACTGTGAGGAATCGCATTCAAGGTGCTATAGTTGTCTCGGCATTCAATTGCCTAGCGAAGCCACGTTCATGGAAGCGAAACCATAAATTTGTGACCATACCTGTATGCTCCAAAGGAGGGTATGAGCTCTATGAGGTTTACATACCACAGTTCCCTTTGAATCTGTAGCTTCAGCAATGAATCTGCGATCAAACCCGTCATGAAAACCCATAACAGTCCAAATGCCATGGCAGTTTGGCTGTTGTCAAACAAGGAACTGAGAAGAAAGGCGAAGAGAATTTGAACATTGCCGAAGAGGAAGTAGAACACAAACTGAACACCTGCACGGAAAAATGGCAATGCTGGGTAAGAGCAATCGATGTTCCACCACTTGACCGTTGAGCTACAAGGTCTGCCATCTTCAGCAAAAGCATAACAATTGAGCTCACATGCAAATCTGACTGAAGTACATAAAAGGGTAATATCAAGAAATTGCGCCACAAACACAAGTCCCCATTGTTGTTGCCAATTCCCAGGATCAGGGGCAGCAAAACTTCAGTAGCATAGATCTCAGCTGACAAAAATGGAGGTGGTGGGCAGCCTGCTCTTCTGAAGCTTCATTCAACCACTCAATGTGATTGTTCTGAAATGGATACGTGCACAGCTGACTCCTTCAGTAAGAGAACAGATCAGGGATGGCATTTGATGAGTATGGAACACTTGTGGCCCAGTGCTCTGGATTGAATGTAACAAACAAGAGTGGCACATTTTCACACAAGCCCAAATGACACACTGCCCAGTGCACATTCCACAGCAAAACAATAATAAATGTGAACCAGCATTGCGCACTGATTGAAAGCCGACTTGATTGTCCACCACAACACCATTGCTGTGTGTACACATCAACCAAAGCCAGACACATGCCCAGCAACTGCTTCCCAGTTAACAACAGGCCGCTTACCATAGTCTGTCAAACTGCAGATAGCCAACCCAGCCAGTGAACCCACGCCTATGAAGACTGCAATGTACAGCATGTAAAGCACCAAGTAATACATGTAGTTCACGACCCAGTAAGCAGCATCGCCAAGTCCATGCATCTTCATCATCATGCGCAACCTGTGTTCCTTTTCATATACTAGCTGTCCAAGCCTGCAGCATAAAGAACAAGTACACATATGTGTGATGCATGCAGCAATGTGTTTGACGATGGTGGGCCCATCGTTCGTGTGCTATACACAGACAGGATGAAGAGGACAGTAATGTACTCTCCCCCTGTCAGTTGCTTAGTGGTAGGTGCCAGGTAAAGCAACTTGCTTGTATTTTTTGCGGAACAACCTGACATCAACATTCTGCAGATGTGCTGAACATGATTGTCAGTGACGCAAAGGTAGACTCGTGCACTACAGGCTCCACAACTTGAATTGAATAACTTCATCAGAGTACCAGAAGGGGGCTATGAACATTTTCGCACCCTGTGGCAATGCCAGGCCCAGAAAACAACAAGCACGGAAACAACGTTCCTGACAATCGACCATTCTGAGTTCCCAAGGAACTGCAAAGCTGCTGCATGGCCAAACCTGCCAGATACAAAAGAATCCTTTCCGATACAAAGCCTTGCCTTAGCATATAAAAAAGGCAGCTTAATGTCACAAAAAATAACTGGTGAACTGTTTACAGCAAGGTGCAAAGCCACACACATTGCATAAATGACCGAGGCAGGCAGCAATTACATTAGTGGCATCAGCAGCTGAATTACCCAGCAAAACAGGAGTTCTGCAATGATCGAGGAAAACTGGAGGTTGACGGTGGTTGCTGGCTTTGGCATTTCCTCAACGGCCAGCAGTCGCGTTGACAAGCCTCCTGGTGGTCGCAAGCATGCAGCAAATTTGATCAGGAAGAAATTGCAGCAAACCGTTGGCAGCAGTGCACAAAAGACACTTGCATTGGCCGTACTCTGGGATTCTCTGACACCAGCGCCTTAATTAAAACACCATGGGGCGCCACTGTTCTCCGCCACGTCACAGTGAGAAAAATCTGGGAGTCCACCGCCCCTGAATGCAATCATCGGAGTCTTCGCATGGAATGCAAAAAGATAACAGTGTGCCTGGCAGTTTTCTATCATCTCCAAGCCAAACAGTCAACATGGGCACAGAAAGCTTCCAGACCACTCGGCAACGAATCCTTACCTCCTAATGCCCACTTGAGCCATGAGTCAGCTGCCAAATTTTGGGCCAGATTTACCCGGGATTCTATGAACGGACCCCCATTTCCAGAACCACCTTCTATTTGGCCAGGGTACCAAATGTCAACATCGAGGCCATGCAGATCGGAGCCCTGCATGTGTGACAAAACCAGCATTCAGCATGTGCGCTTCCCACTCACGAGTGGCTGGATTCAGTAACCTCAGGTGGTTGGTACAGCCCTTGCAGCAAACGTTGTGTGAATATTGGTGAATGCTATGACATGCATTTGTTACAGTGAGGACATCACAACAACAGTTGCCAAGAACTTGCTGATCTTGCAGGGTGTTACCATCAAAAGTCAAGCTCGTGGCCAAGCTTCAGTGTGCAGAGAATTATAGCATCACAAAGACACAATGAGGTACACATGAAACCACAGCTGTAGCTGTACAACGGATAGCTTCCAGAGGGCTGCAATGAGAATTCCGCTAACTGAATTTACTGCAGCAGCATATTCATTTCATATTCAGCATATTCATTTCTCCCAATCCAAAGTTTAGGTTGTGCTTAGACTGTTCTTGATTCTTCCCTGTTTTCATCATGGAATCTGCCCAAGATTCAACCAACTGCATGAGCGAAATTCTGTTGTACGTTGGGAACCCAGTTCCATATTATGTTGGGACATTCAGCACAAGGACATACAATGTGTGCAAATGTTTTGTGCACCACAGGGCCCAGCAGCCTATCATTGTTTCCTTCAAAAGAGCAGAATTGTGCAACAGGACTTCATTGCTGGGCAGGCAGTACCCTTATTCCACAAAACCGCACCGCAAAGTGCAGAACCCAAGCCAGCAAATAGGTGCTCCATTGCTAGCATACACACTAACACATAAAGCAGACATAACCATGTCATCTCGTTGATTCCACTTCTCAATTAATCTACTTCACCACACAACAACGACTTGGCATTGATCAGCCTGTGAAAATATCACAGATACAGATCTTAACACTGCTACGGCTGCCTTATCATGGTTTCTGCCTCTGTATGACTCCCAAGTGTGGAATGCCACGAACGCCACCTACTTTAAAGTCCCATGCATTGCTATACTCCTGCACTGTTTCAGGCAATGACTGAAGTCCGCCGTGGAAGCTGCCTGCCTTTTCTGACAAATTACAGTGAGCCTGGGTGTGTGGGCAAATTGAACAACACACAATGACAGTCAGCAAGCTGAGGAGCCAGGCCAAATCTCTCCACAACACGATTAAGTTGGCCAACTAGGACTCCTAGATTGACTGGAAAGATACCCAAAGGAAGTGGTCCAAACACACCCAATGTGAAGGAGCACAGCAATTCCACCATGGGATGAGACAACTTGACAGAGGGCATTCCCGCAATTACACAGCAGCAACAGTGTGTTCCATCAGGTGGTGTGCTCTCCTTTGGCATGTGCACCGGAGCAGGCTCTATAAAAGAGGACGACTCAAGGCTGTGCCAGCCATGCAGCAGCATGACCACCACGGATTCTGCACCACAACATCTACACACGCACATGACAGGGCATTTCCTGGTCTTGAATCTAGATTACTACAGTACCCACAAGACTGTTGGATTCCACCAGTCTTGTGCAAGTGCAGCATAACTGTGCAGAGAGTACGTGCAGAATGAAGGAAACTCTGGAACAGTCACCTCAAGGCACTTGGATCTGACCATATTGAATCTATACCCAGATGCGACAGTCCAAAGGCAGCCCCCCCCTCCACTAATACCTTTTCAAAACTGCAGAAAAGCCTCTTGTTGATGCTTTCCACAGTGCTCAGGCTGAAAGCTGACTTGACACACTCTAGGTCAATATGTCCTCCAGGTCCTATTGGCAACGGCAATTCCATTCCCACATCGTTGGCGATGAAGACTGCATCACTGGTTCCAGCCTTGGGAAACAGTGTGCAATCTTGTGTGAGTCCATAAATCTCAGGCTGAGGGAAAAACACAGTCGTCTGTTAGTTGGGAACCCTGACTTCAGTCATCGTGGCTTTCTTTCACACATAGCCAAGTACTGCAAGTTTGTACACATGACATGTGCAGTGGAGCACAGTAGTCCGGTCAACATCATGGGTGCCACAAGATGCAGAAATTCACTTTCAAAGCTGTAGTGACTTGGCATTGTCCTGGTGCCACCAAAAATGCCACATTTTTCCCCTCACAAATGACCGCAGAAGGGAAACATAACTGTTGCCAGTTCCAATGCCACTCCTCCCCATGACCAGGACAAATGAGTGGCAGTTTGGAAGCACAAAAGTGCTCAAAGGCAAACATCATCAAGCTTATTGCACATGACCAGAGTCAAAATCACCAGCAGCTGCCAAAATGGACAGTCAACCTCCAACCTCCAGATAGTTCAGTCATTTGCCCAAGCTGCTGAATCTAACCTCCAAAAAGGCAGGCTCGATGAAGTGGGTGTACGATGTTCTGCTGGATGAACCCACGAATACACCAGAATCCACAAAACTCTCGCCACGAAATGCATCCTGTGAGCAGCCAAAAACAATGATGCAGATTACAACCAGCAACAGTTAACCAGAACCATCTGACTAGAAAATCCCTGAACTCACAACAACTGCAGTACGATTCTCGTCCACCAGCACCTGCAAGTTTCACAAGGTGCATGACTTTCTTTCCAACCACTTGCTGTATGTATTGCTGGCAATGCTCCTGTTTCGTCACTGACTGCCATCATCTCCTCAGCCCTCACAAGATTTCACTCAAAGCAATCGCACTGTGCAGGTCGCCTACATTACACTGCGTCTCCTCTTGTTCGAACAGAGCACCAAGGATATATTGACATGGCTGTATAGGTTGTAACTGGTTAATGATGACTAGCTAGTGCATTTGCCAGTTTGCGAAACCGTGGCCACAATTATCCCCAGCAATCTTTTGAATGCAAACCCATCTTCCCCACATCCTTGGATTGCAATAGGGGCCTCTCTCACCAAGACACTGCCTGAGTGGTCCAATCCCATTTGGGCTATTACATCCTTGTCACATTGTCAAATTTTACAGCACTTCCCAACGCAGTAAGGACATGCGCCACTGAAAAAATAGGTGACTAATTTACATTGAAGCCCACCTGCTCCTTCCCCATCTGCAGGAATTTTCCACTGGGGAGCCTTGGAACAAAAGGTGGCAACATCTGCTTGACGATCTCCCTAGCCAGAGTGCCATTTCCGTTACCAGCATACATCATGACAGCGTTAGGTCTCCATGGCATAGCTCGCTTGCTCTCCACAGGGATCTGCAATATGAAAACACAAAATCGCAAGATGCACAAGGAGATGACTATGGCATATCCGAGTGCAGCCACACACACTCCAGTACTTGGCAGTGGCCTGTTGTCAGGACACCAGTAATGCATGATGATGCACTGAACTCTGCACGCCACACCGAAGCAACGTCAGTCCTCCCAATTCATCTTGCACGGTGCCCAGGCCACATACATGTCCAGTAAGACCACAAACAGGGCTGGAGCGCTCGAAGCGCTTCCAGTCACTGCAGTACACAAACTACTCACACAAAGCAAAACAGGCAGCCAGGAGCAGCCCATGCCAATTCACCTGCACCACTGGCGGCCAGCTTGAGGGATGGGGTTGTTCACAGAATATTGCTTGTAGGGTAGTTGAGTATTGTAGTCCACACACGTCCTCATCAAAAGCCCTGCATTCTTCTTCCTTGCTGCACTGACTGGATGATGTGGCATTTCGACAGGCTCCTCCAACTTTAGTGCAGCACAATGTACACATGCAACCACACTGCAAAACATTCCTACAGGAGATCAGAATTGAAAATAGGAACGGCCATATTGACAATCGTGCATCAGTTCACTTGCTGCTGTCAAACCTGTGGTCAAACACTTGTTGAAAATGCCTGTTTCACATACACTACCTGCTCGCTTCCACCCTCACCACTGGCCGCAGTTAAACATTCCAGTCTAAAGCATGCAAACCAACTGTACACATGCAAGCATTGGCATGTTATAAGGCCATTTGCTCAGAATCCCACTGTTCAATTCACAACGATGCTCGTCAACAGAAAAATCCATCGGTGAGACACACAAAAAAAGATATCACTGAGAGTTGCCACTGTGTGCAACATGTTGCTGTTGACTTGTAGTCTTTCTTGCCCTTCTAGACCACCCATGACTGCAAGATATGTTCCACTGCTGCTTCGAACCCTTTAATTGACACAATTTACTGCATGTTGGACTTAGAGTTTTGGATTCTTGGACTGCAAGACCTCCCATCCTGATTGACACTCTAGCAAAAACAGACCCATTGGTCCCATATACAGCTTCAGAGGACTGGCAATTCTAGAAAAAATGAAATTCTTCCACAACATATTCTGCATGCAGTTTCAAGCCCTGTGGCTTGGTTGCGAGCAAGCCAGTGAATAACCCAGAGTGCACACTTGGTACATTACCTGGTTTTCTGGTGAGTGTGCAAGGTCATCAACCCAACTCTGCAACCCAGTCAAAAGAAGCACAAATACCAGAGGGAGCAGAACTGTGGCAACGTTGACACAGCTGTGCCGCTTTTGATAGATGGCATTCTTGCGCAGCAATGCATTGGTCTGCAGTAGGAAGGTGGTGCCTGCCTGCAGATAGCACATAAACCACTTTCATCCACTGGCATGAGCACTAACTTATGGTTGTCTGCAACATTCGTGATGTCTTCAATCGTGAGCTCTGTCTTGCAACATACAGAGCCCCTGGATGTGCTTGCTTTTATGGTGAATGCAATAGAATTCAAATCCTTTCGAGACCACTTTCAGGCCCTGCAAACAATCAAGTCAGTGCCAGATGTAGATTTGCAATTGCTTGCACAGATGTGGTCCCTGTTACAGATGCCAGCACAGGCATACTTTCAGCCCTACAAGCACCTTTTGGACTTCCAATCTATGACGATGAGTGGATGGCGGGAACGGCTAAATATGTGCAACGATCAAATTTGTGAAAAATGCATCTTGGAGAGGTCAAGCAAGTCCCACCAGGATGGAAGCTGCCTACTGTGCCCTGCATCGTTTTGTCTTGGCTTGTACAGCTGCAGATCAACGACTTAAATATGGGCTCAGGTACCGCAATTGAAAACAGATGACTCTGTGGCTTGGCGTTCAAGAAAAGGAAGGTCTGGGATGAAATCCAGCAGCTTGTGCTCAAAACTCAACTAACGCTGGCTAACATTTGCAGCACCATGTGCCAATGATGTTATTGGTCCAAAGCAAACGAGATCCTGGTGGCCCTCCGATTATCTTGCCCACCATTGTGCAAGCTATGAAAGCCAATCGGGATGATTGCCTCTGCCCTCCTCCCCAACATCAATGACAGCACATGTTGACCACGAAATCAGCTTCAATCTGCACATCAGATGATGGATTCAATGTCAGCAGATAAGGCAAGGGCTGCACAAGCGTTTAATCATCATAGGAAAGGGGCAAAGATGGTAGTTGATTCGCCAGGTCCATTCCTGTTGACGAACAGTGTACGCACTGCAGAGTCTACACAAGTAATCTCACCAGCCTTACGGTGCTGAAAATTTGACGTCATCGGGATCATCTGAAGCGATACATCAAATGATAGCGGGTACAGGGACACAGCTCACCCACCTGACTGATGTTATTGGGGCAACGTATTGGTATTGCAGCAATACTCGAGAACAACGTGCAGAAACACATGAGTGGTGTTGAAGCTGATACTGTCCTTTAGGAGGACGATCTTGTGCACGTGAGCTATTCCATTATGTAGGGAGCGATTTCGCCTTTCAGTTTCGTGCAACGGCACCACTTGGCTTGGTGCCGCCTCCAGCAGCTTCCAACTGCCACTCTTTAGTCCATCGATACTTGACATGTTGACATGCTTGACCTGTCCGGCACCTTCTGCAGAGTTAACGGTGCGCCGATCATAAATTATCTTCATGGGCGCACGTTAAGCTCTGTTTGGAGGCATTGTCGTCACCAAATTAGGTGCCGGGTCCTGCTGATGGTGGGAGGCACGAACAGTTGACTGCTGCTTACAACGCATCTTAGAGGCCATTTTCCGGGTTTCACAGGCGCAAAGGCGCACGACAGCACAACGCGATGGCTGACATTGTTCTGCTACTGCATCCAGAAGACAGAACGTCGCGGCAGGTTGGGGCCACGGCAACGCCCAGCAATCTCGACGGCTCCAACCGCTTCAAGCAAACCCTACCCCTTCGGGACCAAGGGCTGCAGCATTGCTGTACGTTGCCACGGTGCAGCACGGCAAGCAAATGGGAGTAAAACGAACGGAAGCGTCAAACTCTGCGGCTTGCATCACATCAACTCGTACGCACGTCTCGAACGGCGTCCACGGGTGCGTCGGGAGCGGCGAACACTGACGCTGGCCTCCACAACGCGCAGGTCGAAAGCGCCCCGCTGCCGCTGCCGCGTGTGTGGGTTGTGTGGGCCCAGGGACTGGGGCGGGGGGGTTATGTACTGGGCACCAGTTGCATTGTCCGGTATCCGGGGGGCGGTGCGACAGCGTCCAAGCAAAGCCTGCTGCACAGCGGGAGCTGACACATGCTCCAATCAATCGCGAAACAAGGCGAGCCAGGGGGGCCAGGAGGGTACAATACCTAAAATACTATAAGCGGAGAACCCGACTTGGAGCGCGCCAGACTCAGCGTTCTTGTTCAAGAATCGATCCTCGTGACATGGGGGTTACGTAAGTGGCGGGGCCCGGTGCTGTGGGTGTGCGTCCCCCAGTGGGCCGGTGGTTGCGCTGGGCGGCAATGGAGACCATCACCGGCGCCGATCGTCACCACGGCGATGGCCCGCGCCCAAACGTGCAGCTCGGCGTTGCCGTTCCCGCGAGGGCTCCAGTCGGGCCGTGGAGCGACTCCGAAGCCTTCCAGATCTCTGCTGTGGCAAGCATTGGCACGGCGACCACGGCAACGGATGCAATCAGCGCGTCCCTCAAGGCCAAGCGTTCGGGGCCCCCGGGCCCTGGAGTGATATTTTGGAAAGCGGAGAGCAGGGGTGCGGCCCCACCCGGGTCGGGGGGCGTGCTTGAGCCCGACCACGGGGTGGGGCAAGAACCTCCGCCATCGGGATCCCGCGTCTTCACGGTCGTCTCAAAAGTCAATGCGGGGGTGGATGGGTGCGATGGCGAAGGTGCGAGTGTGACTCCCTCGGCTGCGACTGGCCCCCTCGCTGGGCTGCGGAGCGCAACGGGGGCAGAGACGCGGCTTTCCGCCGTCGTGTCCATGGCCCCAAGCACCCACCCGTGCTCGTCGCCTGGATTTTTGGTTTGATCCTTTGCCCCCAGATGCGCCCACTGCAGGGCGCCGATGGTGCATGTGCCGATCGTCAGGAATGGCGAATCAACACTCAAAGCTGCCTTTCTCGTAGCAGCCCTAGAGGCACGCGATGGCGCTTAACAATAGCCATCCGCCTGGCCATCGCTGCGCGGTGTGCAATTGCCGCACCATACGCCCAACCGCCAAGGGCCAACGGGCACAAGGACAGGGCGGGTGTTTCAATTGTTGGGCACGAGGGAATGTCGGGAAGGGAGCAGCGACTCCCCATCGAGGGGGGATTCCTTGGTGGGGAGGGCGCGCCAGCCATCGTGCGACGGACTCCGGCGATGGCAGCGCCTTGCACCGCTGAAGGGGGCAGGATGCAGGGGACAGCCTCTGTGCAGGGCCTTGATTGTTGTGGCACTGTGAATGCGCACGCATGGGCTCGGGAAGAGAAATGCAAATGCCACCATTCTAAGGTGCCTCCCTTTTCAATCAAGGGGAAAAGAAACAATTGTAGCAGGTTCTGTTTGATAAAGTGGGGACGACAAAAGTGGAACACGTTGGGCCGAAGGCCCAACTTCTGGACTGGTCAGTGACAATTTGGCAAAAGACATTCTGGCAAAAGAATCGGAACCTGTCAGAAGGGCCGAGGAACCCGACGATCATGGCGTCCGAAGGCCAACCACTCCCAAGGGCACCCAATTGCCCATCAACCCCTTTCGATTTTCAGCTGGCCTGAACCATGGTGGGAAAGAAACGAAGGACGCTGCAAGCAGTGATCTTTTGACTGCGTTGAGCGCCGATTTAAGCGATCGGCGCAACCCCCATATCCCTTGGCTGAGCCGTTAGCAAGATAGGTACATCCAAATCTCATTGTCTGGCTCGCCAATACCTCATGGTGTGGTTTGCATTGTTGTAACTGTAGCTTTGCCTTTACGCTGTGTCCATGGTTGGCGTCCGGTTTGCATGCTCGACTCCCACAATATTCTTTTGACTCCTGCATACTGTCTTGTCGCATTGTCTCGTGTAGCGGAAGAGCCCCGGGGTGCCAACCCAAGGTGTGTCTTCTCCTGTTGGCAAACCCTGCTGGCATACTCCGTGGTAAAGGTGATTACAACCCGCGGTTGATAGTGACAATCACATCAAACCGGGGCGCTGCAAGTGCACAGTTATCTTGCACAGCCTGCTTTCTGCCATTGCGGTCTCGTTGGATGCATTCTTGTGAACCCATGCACGAGTACACCTCACTTGTGAAAAAAAAAACATTGACAGGAAGTTGACTACGTTTCGCCGAAGCAATGGCAGGCATGATGCTGCACATACAACAGTGCGGAAACACCGCATGAAACGAACATGGCGGCCAAGTTGAACTCGTTACAAACACACAGATTTCCAACCAGGACATCATCGCCCCTCACACAGCTGTCAATTTGCTCATACACACGCTTCCATCTAAATAAACGGCGGACGCACTGGTAACCAACCTCCGGTCCAGAACAACAGACAACTTTGCGGTACACTGTGCCAGATGCGACACCATTGCAAAGCAACCATTGCAGAACATAATTATTCGCTGAAAAGGCAGGTCCCGGCGCGCTTTAGCTGCGGGCTGGCATTGGAATGCCCCGCGTTATTTCGCCACTGACTGCTCCCCTTCCTCCAAATACCTCGCGCTCACAAACTGGCAATACTCACAAGTGGTATCGACGCCACATACCACCCAGACCGATGCCTGCGGCTCAGATATAGGACAACATCACAATTCTCTTACCCCCCGGCCCAACCTCAACAACACCCCCCGACGACTCGCAGACTCGTGCCCATCCCAATACTAGCAACTGCCACTATCGCCCATTCTTAACTGACGGAGGCGCCCCTGCACCACGTTCGTCTGATGGGAGGCTCGGCTCTAGAGACGCACTACAGCCTCAAGGAACCCCGAGGCAGCATTGCAGGGACTGGCGTGCTGCTTGACCTCTTCATGGACGGGGGTGCCTTGGACATCTTGCTCGACATCGACGTTCGGCTGTCTGCCCTCTCCACGAGGCTCTGGCTGTCTTCCCTCTTGGGCAGCTCTGGGCTGCTTTCTCTCGAAGCGGTGGCGGGGGCCGCGGCTTTTGGCGGACGAGGGCTGCTCGACAGGAGCTTCTTGGTCTTCTTGAATATCTTTTTCAGCAGTGATTTGGTGACCTTGTCTTCACTCGCCTGCAGAAGCTTCTGCGCTTCATGACCAGCAAACACGCCTGTCCGCACAAAATGCAAAGGCGCATGTCATCTTCGGTCGCAAGTGAGCAGGAGTTTCATCTTCCGTTTGCAGATTAGCAAGCAAGTGGCGGATTCAAGTCGCGCCAAAACCAGAGACTCCACCTAAATCTTATTTGATGGTGAACAGGCTTGGTATTTACTCCGTGAAAACAGATCGTATTGCATTGTACTTACGTTTTTACAAGCAAAAATAGTGTTTATTCTTTTGCGCGCAAAAACGCGTAAAAATACGTAAATACAACGTAAATACAGCCCCGTGTAAATAAGGACAGTGTGTGCATACTTAGGAAGTACAAGGAATGGCAGACGCCCTGGAATGGATAGAAAACGAACTCTTGTTTCATGCCATCGTTTTCATCGCCGAGCGCGAGGCGGACTCTGTGTTGTGGGTGTTCGAGGGGACGGAGGACTGATCATTGTGCGCGACTTTCATCGTGTAGCCTGGGTGTCGCAACGAGCCGTAAAAATGTAAGCACAGCCGTAAACATCGCCCCTCCTGCAAATTTGCGTTTTTACAAGAACGTAAACGTAAACGTAAATCAATAGCCAGATGGTGAAGTCAGATGGCATGCCAGCATTCAAGCAACTCTCTATCTGATTCGAAGACATTAAGGACCACTACCAAGGCGATAACGCGTGCATGAAGACAACAAAGAATTTTACGCATCGTCATTCGAGAGGGGAAGGAGGCTTTCTGGCACGCAGTTTTCAATAATGTTGAATTGGATCAGAGGAACTTCTTACAGGCCATGGCGGTGGTTATCTTGCAGACATACAGTGGCGCATATCCCTCGTCTGGCGTGCACAAAGAGAGTAAGACAAAAGAGAGATGAGGTCGCGCAGCCAGTTTGCATGTATGCAGGCAGCTCTAATGCAATTAGAAGCACCTTCAAGTCGAGATCCAAGGGCATCTGTCAACTCGCGCATGATGTCCAGAGCCAGCGGCACATGTCTGGCAAGGTCGCTGAACACCACGAAAATGGGGGACAAGTTGTGGGTGCTGGGATCCGCATGGAGGCTGAGGTGCCACCTGATGTCCTGCATGTACTCCTCGGAGCTGCTTGAGGGGACATTGAACAATCTGCACCAAAATACCAGATTCAGCCAGCCCAGTAGCGTGACAACAGTATTGTCGTATTCCCGTGAACACGTTATCTTCGGAATCTTCACGCATGCTGGCAGTGGATCTCAGCAGGCATTAGCAGGCAAGTCAAAAGTGATGACTTTTAACGGAAGAGCATTCCTTTCCTGCTGGCAAGAGTCCCCCAGCTGTCAAGTCTTACGATCTGCGGGTACGCTCCATACTCTCTTGACAGGGCCCATTGATACTAGTAGTTCCAGCGAAACGTGCAGGAAGGAGACTGATTGAGGAAACTGCAAGATACAGGAACACAACTTCAGGCAATTCCCACTTAGATGTTGTTCAGCAGCAGAGAGGAACACAAGGCAAAGTGAATCGCCACATACCTGTAGCCGCAACCCGACTTGCATACACGAGCTGATCGCGCCGTCGCCATGGGATCGATGGCAATGTCCACCCACTCCACTTTCCCTTCACACATGTACGGCCACAATGGAAGCCTCTGGAATCTTGTGGGGGCCTCGAAAGCAGAAATCTGGACCACTACACAGCCTTCCGCCTCTGACTTCTTCTGAATTTCTCTCAGCAGCATCTTGTCAAGCTGCGTTTCGGACTGCCCCCACCCGTTCATGCACTTCTTGGAGGCTTCTTCATTGATCGCCGCTTTCACCTTGAAAAGATAATCAGAGCAATGAACCACCCATCAGCAACTACACAGGCAGCACAAGCTGCAAAACTTCAACAGACAGCCATCATGCCTCACTTTGAAAATGCGTCCATTCGACATGAACTACAGCTGAGCAAGTACAGGTGCAACAATCAGACTTGATCGCTAAAGAACATTCAGAAAGGACAAGCGACCTATGTGTGCATCACAATTATCCACAGATTGTCACCCAAATGGCAGTTTATGCTATATGACACATGTCAGATGATCACCGTTCTTACCAAAGACAAAGTTGGCATTCCCCCTTTCTAGGACCAAACCAGATAACCTAAAACCCCTTATCAAGTACGCATCTGAGCTGGCATGAATATCGTCTGCATTGCGCATGCTCGAAGTGTGGGACAACGCATCATGAGCATCAACATGAGACCATACACATCAAACAGAAACAAGGTAAATCCAGTTGAGGGACGGAGGGTGGCAGCACCTTGCTGCTGGCCCGGTTTTCCTTCAGCAACTCGTGCAGGCAGCTTGATGCCTCCAGATCGGCTATGGCATCGTAATCAATTGCCGCGGTGGAACCTACAGCCCCCATCTTTGTCAGGGCCTCCCATTTGCCCTCTACAACAGAGCTTGGCGACTTCCCATCAGCTGCCAACTCTTCTATTTGGTTATGAATCTCATCAATCCATGAAACCGATGGCTTGCTCTTGTACCGCTTGGCCTGCAGCAGCTCTTTCAACAAGCGAGCTGGATTTGGATGTTCCTCTTCTGCAAAAGTCACCTTGCCGGACGTAATGTGGTTCCATCCTTCTGTGAGAGCCTTGTCCATTCTGGTGCAACAAGGGTATCCAAAGCGTTTCAGAACATTTGTGCATCAATGAAATGCTGCTGCTCAATAGGCCTGTCAGCAACATGCAGGCATGCTGTCCATGAGCCATCCCTGTTTGCAAAATAACTGTCACGTGATAAAGCTGTGCGCTCCCTAACAACAATGCAATGCATGCAAAGCATAAAATCCCAAGAATGATTGAACAAGGTATGCCAAAACCGATACCTGCGATACACTGCTGTCACGTCAAATCCACTGAGGACCGCAGTTTGCTCGCTGGACTTGTAGTTCTTGTTGGTGCTAAAGAAGGACTGGCAGATGGCAGCCGTCCTAGAGCCACCCCAACTGACTGAACTGTTGGCCGCACGTTGTGGTGTCTGGCCCTGGCAACAGCACCAATAACATCACAAAGGCTGCCATGGAAACAATGTCACGTTCGACCATCACTATGTCTGCTGGGGGCATATAAGGCTCTTGTCTTTTGTTCAAACTGCAGCAGGTCCTTTCAGCACAGTCAAGTCGCCATGCGAAAAGCAGCACAGAAGCCCTGCAACAACAACCAAGAACGCAAAACTACCAATATGCAAGCTTGTCTGTGGCGCAGCCCACAGGACACCTGTGGTTTCAGCTGCATGGGCTTTCAACTGACCTGAGAAGCCTCTGCAGCCGGAGTGGCATACTGCCTGGCCAGCACCTGAGGGCTGAACGCATGAATGGCAGCCAGGTGAACAGGGGCCGGCCCTTCTGCCACTTGCATCCTGCGTGCGATCTCCGTTGCCACCAATGCACCAAATCCTTCCCCAATGAACACAAACGGGAGGGTGAGTGCATCATCCTTGTGTTTGTTCCATGTCCCTGTCATATATCTGCGAATGGCCACCACTGACTTGTCCATATCACCTGTCCAGTCAATGGCACCTGGTTGCCTCACACAGTACGGCAGCCGCACCAAACAAACCTGGACCTTGTCCAGCTTCAGCAGGGCAACCTTCGATGCATGGTCATGGGCAGCAGATGGGGAATCGATTCCAAGGAACACGAAAGCCACCAAGTCTGGATCGATGGCATTGTTGCCCTCAAGAATGATGTCACCAGACTGCTTGATATTCCCAAGAAACTCATCGAGAATGTCCTTGCCCAAGCCGCTGCCAAGGTCACTGTTGATATCTGGCTCATCGGGGCACACTCCCATCATGCCATCAATAAGGCACTCTGAAAGCGAGTCAATCGTGGAGGAGTGGCTCAGCTGAGCAGTGGACAGGGTGACAGGAAGCGATCCCTCCGCCCAGCTCTTCAGCTGTGAAAGCTGCCCAGTGGTCAAACCGAATGAAGAAAACGGGGCTGTTCTCTCCAGAGCTTCCTCATCGTGCCCACTCAATTCAGCCACTGTCGCAGTTATAGCATCGGCCAGAACCTTCTTCCCTCCTTCAGGACCAGCGCCTTCAATCCTGCTGACGAGCTGCATGGGAGACAACAGAAGTTTCTTGCCCATCCATAGTTCTGACAGTGCACATATCTCAATGGTGCAACAACAGTCACTGCTACAGCCATGCCACTCAAGAAATTACTTTGATCTCACAGCACTGAGAATCACTGTGCTTTTCAGCTCTTTGTATATCACAGGACACTTCATTGCTAAAAATCAGCAGGTGCATCGACTGTGAGGTAATTCTGTGCTCAGGTCACAAGTATTCCACTGCAGTGCATCCAGCCAAAGGCTTGATGCCGATACTTGGCTCTACTCACCTCGAAACCTCCGCCCAGCTTCATGCCTTCTCTTGCAGATTTCGCTTCTTCCACAACATCCACAAATTTGCTTGTCATTGCATGGCGCCGGAAAACCATCTCAAAGACTCTCCAGTTGACAGCAGCGCACAGCACGACATGGTCGTCACTGTACAGCACTGAATCCCCTTGGTTGCCCTTCACTTGCAGGAAACCTGGCTTGCCAGACGAATTCGGTGCCCAAAATCGTGTGGTGCCTTGCGACTTGGCATCTGTGGAGATGTAGGTGAATAGCGTCGACAGACACTGAGGTGGCGTCACCATCTGCACTGGGGCATTCCCTGACATTTTGCCAATCAAACTTCCATCCCGAGCCAAGCCACCCGTATCGGCGATGGCACCCCACTGCAGGCAAAGGCCAGGAAGGCCCTGACCCCTTCTGTACCGCACCAGACCTTCAAGATAGCTGTTGGCTGCAGCATAGTTGGCCTGGTGGTAGGCACCCAAAAGGCTTGCAATGGAGCTGAATGTCACAAAGAAGCGAAGAGGATCTCCAATCGTGTGTTTGTGCAGCAGATATGCTCCCCTCACTTTGGGCTCCAGTGCCTGCAACAAACTTGGGAGTCACATAGGTGGCAGTGGAAATTCAGGGGGAACTTACATCAGACCTAGCACACACACCTGAGCGACTGATATTGCATGGCGGAAACAAGCAGAAAGTTAGTGCCAGCTGCCCATGTGACAGTTCATGCATGCACCAATCACAGTCAGTGCAGGTCTTAACATAAGCCTGGCCACAATGAGCACCTCCAAATGCCAAATTTAACCAACAAATCTTGCTGGAGACTCAATCTGCAAAAAGCGGTACCAGTCTCTCCATGTCGCCTGGACCGTCCATTTACGCCAAAAACCAATGCAATGGCAATACTGCAAGTAGCAGAGGTAACACTGTCTCCTATAAAGGGGTATCCACACGATGAACTGATTAGACACCAGGTGCCGAAATAGAACTTCAACTGCACAGACATTGGCTACAGCTCTGGTTACTGAGCTGAGGCAGCTCCAGTTACAGGGATGGCATGGGCACAAGCCAAAGCTCGTGACACACACCTTCACCATGTCCTGTCCGCTCATGTCCCTGATAATCTGATCCATCAGCACCACTGCAGAGTGAATGATGCCTCCAATCGTTGGAGGGAAGGGAGCCCTCTTCCCTGACCGCACGCTCTCCAGAAATTCCTCAAGGGCCTTCTCATCCGTGACGTCCACTGAGAACGCCTGAACGTTCTTGTGCGGCACATACCTCTTCAACAGACTCAGCTTTCTTGCCAATTCCGCAGACCCCTGCCCACCACTCCGACTGATGAGGCAGATGTGGTATGCATTCTCCATAGACATTGCCATGGTCCATGCAATTTCCAGCCCCAGCCCGCTTGTTCCCCCAACGATTATGTAGGTCTCGTCTTGGCAATAAATGTCGGGGGGGGACATATAGTTCTTGTAGACCAACAATCCAGCACCTTCCTTGGATGCTGTGGCTGCTGATGGATGTGGCTGAGCAAGCACAGGCGGGAGACGTATGCACAGTTTCCCTATGTGGTCGCCGTTCAGCATTTGTTTGAAAGCCTCAGTGACATTCTGCGCATCGTACACCTTCGTGGGTATGATCCACCCTTTCTCGATGAATTCAGTCATAAAGCCCGCCATCCTGGACACGATGGACTTCACACTCTTGAGCCGTCTCTGAAGATCTTTTGACTGCTGGGCACCCTTGCCATCGGCCCCCTCCATTTTCTTCTTCTGCAGTGTCTCCTCAATGAACATGTAGTGTGCCTTTCGCCTTCTGTCCATGTCAAACACGTGGTAGGTGCCATTGTTCACAAAATTCTGCATTGGCGCCATCTGGCGCTCCATGATGTCCCTCTTCCCAATCTCGACAAAGCGACCAAAGGGGGCCAGGAGTTTCATGGTCTCTTGAGTGGCACGGCCACTTAAGCTGTTCAGCACAACGTCGACACCCCTTCCATCGGTGACCTTCAACACAACACACAGATACCACCACAATAGCATAAGACAAACCAGGGCACTGAAACTCTGCGATTCAAGCTGTCGCAATTTTCGTCTTGCAGGGAATCTTTGTTGGAGCTGACCGTCGCCTTGCACTGTCTTGCACAGAGGACAAAAGGGCCATATCTCTTCCACGAGGACAGCAACTGAGTTGTGCAATAGTTATTGCTACACAACACTTTGTTACTGTTACTGTTACTGTTAACTTGCTGTTACACAATATTTTGGAGTGAAGACAACAGGTACAGCACTTCTTGAGCAGCCCTGTGCGGTGGTTCCACTTTAACAAACTGACCATTAACTGACTTTAACAAACTGCCACCCTGACCATTCGAAAACCACCATCCTCCACGGCGCAAATCTAACAGATACAAGTTGACTCACCTTGCGCACGTCTTCCACAAAGTCCAGGGTTCTCGACTGAAACACATAGTCTGCCCCAATTCCCCTCAGAAAGTCAGCCTTGTCAGGGGTCGACGCTGTTGCAATCACTGTTGCCCCGAGGTCATGAGCTATCTGCACAGCAAATGTACCAACCCCCCCTGCTGCCGAATGAATCAAAACAGTCTCTCCTGCTTCCAAATGCGCAAGGTCATTGAGGCAAGCATGGGCGGTGCCTCCTGCAACAGCCAGCCCACTTGCAATCTCCAGATCCAGGCCATCTGGCACCTACAAGAAACAAAATGCAGCCTTTCATTTGGACCATTTCACTGTGACAGTAGTCGCTAAATGTGAAGCAATCGTGAACTGTAGCTGCAGCAAGACTGTCTGCTATCTGGAAGTCTGAAAAGGACTATACCCTTTGAATAACAATACTGCGGCAGCTGGCACTTGCTAGCACGAAAACTTCACACAATGCAACAAAAATGGTAGGTGTTGTTGGAGCAACTGCCATTGCATCCTCATGTATCATTCGATGTATGTGGGACACGTTACCTTTGTCACACTGTGCCCTGGGACCTCGATAAACTTCTGAAAAGCCCCCTGTCTCTCCAGCGGTGAAGCTATCACACGGTCGCCAACATGGATCCAGTCAGGTGCCTCGCTTCCAACCTCTGTGATGATGCCTGAGCACTCAACACCGATCGCGTCCACTGACCAGCCACCCTCAAGAGCAGATGCATCAATCTCTCCCATTAGCAGAAGAGCATCTTTGTAATTCAAGCTCACTGCCTGAACCTGAACCACATCGTGGCAAACGTATCCGACCGTCAGCTGCACAGTGTGTTTTCTCCAGACATGCACCGCGATCATATCCTAGGACACTCACGGGTGCAGAACCTATAATGGACCCAAAAGGCATCACCATAGCTGGAAACGACAATGTTCAACAACTGTCACAAGCAGAGCAACTGCAAAATGCAGGTGACATTGGAGCGCTGGGGCATAAGGAGTCGGTATGGAATATGCGGGAGAAATGCAACCAGCAGTGGAGTAAAACAGGTACCCATTCACCCAATGTTGCCACAAGCAGTTTCTGCAGGGATCTTACCTGCACCACTGCATTCCGTGGGTCGAGGTGCTTGGGTTTCTCACAGGCCTCAAAGTGCAGACTGTTGAGATCACCAACGACTTCCTGCTTCATGCAGTAGTTGGAGTACTCGTGTGCCAACTCGCGAGCGGCTGTGCCATCTTGGCCCAAGGCGCCTTCCTCCCGTTCAGCAGGGGCGTCTTCGATCTCCAGACCAACCTCCTCAGTGCTGCTCACACTCCCTTGCACAGGCAAGGCAGTGGCTGACTCAAATGTCGTCGAAGAGTCAAGGATGGAGGGACCCTTTGTGCTCTTGAAATCAAGTCTCTTGAGCCGGGGCAGGATGACTGAGTCGTTGCGAATGGCCAGCTCGAACTCATCATGCATCCGCTGGTCTTGAAACACTTGCTCATAAAACAGCTGAAAGGACTTGTCCGCTGGGCAAGTCTCCAGGGGTTCCATGTCCACCAGAGAGCATTTCACGCCCTCCAGTGCGTGTTCTGTCTGGAGGGTCCGGCCAAACCCCATGACCGGGGCCACCCCTGGACAAGGCGAGTCTGCATTCCCTCCAAACGACACGAAAAATGCATGATGGTCAGTCATAGGCGTTTGACCGTTGCCCTCCTGGGGCAACACGAGGTCCAACCACAGCCTGGTTTCATCCAGCATGTGCACCATGTCCAGGACTTCCTCCACCACAGGCTCGCAAACGTACATCAAGTCAAAGTCCTGGCAGGCCAGCGCACTGTCCGATCCACCTGCCAGCTGTTTGTTGCTGGCAAAAACCAGCAGCACCTCTCTCAGGGACTTGATCGACTGCATGATGACGACTCCATGGCTGTAAACTGTCTTCAAATCAGCGATGTGGCTTCTGAGAGATCGGATCCAGGGATGGATTTCTGGATTCGGGCTAACAACCAGCAGAGTTCGGTCCCTTGCAGGCAAGCCTGAGGCTCCTGCAGTTGGTGCACTCCTGTCTGCCATCGCGACTCCCTCTCCTGCAGCTTTCTTCTGTGCTTCCCACACACAAGTGTAGAGACAGCGATCAAGAGGCGCAACTTCGTCAGCACCAGGCTCTGAGATCCTCTTGACCATGAAGTTGTTGATCAGTACAACCGGCCTGTTCCTGTACATGAGACTTATGTCATGGGTAGACTCAGTCTTGCTCACACCATCTTGTGTCTCTGCAAAAGCAGAGTAGCCATGACTGTCTGAAGAGTCCTCAGCACCCTCATCTGCAATGGCACTGAAATCCCTCTCTATCCATTTCTGATCTGTGCCATCCTGCACAGCACAAAGACAACATTCTCATTTACAACCTGGTCACCTGCACCCTCGTCTGCATAGGAAAAGTCTGTCAAAATCCACATTGAGCATCTCACAACGAGCAAACTAAATGCAGCGCAACTGCTATTGAATCGACCAATGGAATTGTGCTGGGAAACAAAGAGTGGTTGTTCAATGGTTGGACTTGACCTCTGTTTCAGAAACACCTACACAACCTCAATAGGTGAAGGTCCAGCACACCCCAGCCTTCTACTGACCACTTGGTGGCCTTATCAGGCAAGTTGTAGTACAGTAATCCCATGCATATATGCAGCCAGTTGTTTCATGGAGCAAGGCATTCTGCAACTTGCAGGCATCCAATCGCAGCATGCAGTTCTCACATCAAGCGCCAGGGGTGGCATAGCAGAATACCTCTTGATGGGGTGGGAAGTACATGAACTTGTCGATGTGCACTGGCAACATTTGAGCATTTGCATCCTCAAACTTGGTGGCCAGTGTGACATTGAAGGCAGCGTCCAGGACGGAGGGTGGAACGTTGTATGGAACAGGGAACCGAGTACTTTCTGCCACACTGAACTGAATGTCACAACCACTGAAGTGATACAGTGTATCGGTCCTGTTGTCCACCCTGCTGCCTCTCCAGATGTTTCGGCACCGCCGCAGTGCTGGTCCAAAGCGGTAGCCAAGACGATCCATCTTGTTGTATAGGCACTCGTGATCGATTTTAGAAACAGGGCCAGTTGCTGACAGCTGTTTTTGCACGGCCATGTGCGACTCCACCTGGCAGAAACCATAACTGCTTTAGTGTGCAGCCTTCGCATGTTTGGCAAAAACTCAGCAGGAGAAACCAGCATGGACTGGCAATGGCAAGCTGCAACACAATCACACATCAGGACCCATGCACAGGAAGGAAATTCCATTGTGTGTGCTCCAAATGCAATGACATTCCTGCCGATTGTTTCTGTTCAACAAGGCTATCTGTACTCTTTGTTTGCCTCAAACTTTACTCCCATTGGCAACACAAGGCATCTCGTCCACACCTCCTTCTTGTAATCTTGGCTCAATGGGTACTTCGAGTACTGGCAGCTGAAATGCAGCTGCCAACCCTGTGCCACCGACGCAGGCTCTGGCGATTCCTTTTCAGACTGCCTGAAAGCAGAATGAATCTGGACTGTGTTTGTCTGTGGCACAATTGTTGTTTGAACCAACGCCAGTGCCCCTTCCAGTGCAAGTGGTGAATGGAACGATACATCTCGAAGCACCCAGTAGTGCTGGCACTCCTTCCCAGTCTCTATTGCAGCTGGGTCCCCAGAAGCTTGTCCTTTGGCATCTTCATTTGTGTTACCAGCAGGCTCTGTTTCTGTCGTGGCTTGCTCCGCTGCCCCTGACTTCTCATCTGTCAATTCGACCTGGAGAGAATTTGGGTTCCCACATTGTCAAAGAGCACATCGGATTTTCAGAAAAATTGCACTGTGTGGCAGATAACAATTTCAACGTTTGTGGAAATAACATGCCTACTCTAAAGACCACATTGTCTGTACATTTGGAGCTGTTTGTCTTCAAGAATTGACACAAGCCTGACTGATGCAACGATTCGACAGAACACATCATCGTCTTCTTTTTATTCTTCGCATCTTTCACAGCGTTTCATCGCAGCACTGCTGTGCTGAGTGGGATAGCACCTGGAACACTCCCGGACGCACCCCAATTAACGTTCAACTGCCAAAAAAGCGGTCTCTGCAGCAGAACCTGCCAAAAGATGTGGCAGTTGCAGATTTTCCAGCTGTTCAGTGGTTCACATTTGGAGATTACATGGCAAGTCCAGTAGCTGCAGTTTCACCAAAAATGACACAACCACAGCCACACGCCCTTTTGAAACATCGGAGGTTAAATCTGCAAAGTGCTGTAGCAGTGCTGTCAGAAATCTTCCCACAGATCCTGAGAGAAGCTCCTGATGCCACACTGGTCGTGAGGGAGTTGTGAATTGTGGATAGAAGCAACCCATTCATGCACCACACCCCATGCATATATAACAAAGGGAGTCAGCCCAAGTGCTTGCCTTTCCATTGTCGTTGTTGGCTCCATTTGGAGCCATTCCATCGTCAGATTTGCACCTGTCCAATTCCTGCACTGCTGCCAGGGCCATTTCAATGTATGCAGCACCTGGAAGCGTAGACGCATGCTCGATTTTGTGGTCAGCAATGCACCCATCAGATTGTGCCTCGATGCAATTCTGCCATGTGGGGGCGCTAATGTTCAGCCTGTGTCCCAGCAAGTTGTGCTTTCCACCACCAAACAGCTCCCTCCTTGGAGAGGCACCCTGAAACTTCAGATGCTGTTCCTGGAATGGAAACCTACAGCATCATGACAAGAATCGGTTAGGTTGCTGTCACAGTTGCATGCAATCAACTGTGAGTTTTTTGAGAGATCAGAAATGCCTGCAAGGCACTACTTCATCAATTATGAGCCGGCTCCAGGAAGTAGAACCACAGCAAAGGCCTTCCACTGTTCACAGGGCATATGACCAGGAGAACATCCAACTGTTACAATAACAACAGCCCACCTTACAAAATTCACTCCTGCTCTGTGCCCAAGACGCCACTGCTGCTTGCCAACAAGCATCAGAGCAGTGTTGTTGTAGTTTGAACATGCGGGCACTGACGGGTGGCTAGCATGGGCTCCTTGCCCCTAATCTCTCCATCAATTTTTTTGGTACAGTTCTTTCCATGGAGATCAGCAACATGTCCCACCACAGCTGCTCTTAACTTTGCATCTTTGCAACAAACAGGTGTGATGGTTATGTTCACAACACAGTGCACAGGAGCTTGCCATCATGTGTTGCACACATCTCCATGGCTGTCAGGAAACCTGGTGACCAGCATGGGGGCCATCCAACTGAACACTTTTATTACTGCAATGTGTGAAAAGCAACGTGTACAACAGCACAATAAACTCCAGCTTCTGGGTAAGGATAGATACTGTTAAACAACATAGCGTCAAATTCACAACTGGTAAAACTTTCACTGCCCAGACGGGTTGAGTCCTTGGCTGCTTGTAAGGTTGAATTTATTCACAGCGAACACAACTGACCTTGGAATCCAGTGGGCTGGGCTGTGAGTCGTCGATGGCAAATGGAACACGGACTTCCAGTTCAATCCGTGTCCTTGGACATACATGTCCCCAAGGAATTTGTGCAAGTGCTTTGCCTCTTGACCTACAGTGTGCTGGTGCATCGGGCACTGGACTGGCATGGGGTGGCCACCAGGGACACTTGCCAAAATCTGGTTCAGCGACTCCCAAAGTGCAGGGTGGGGTCCAAGCTCCACAATGGCATCGAACTTCCCCTGCATGAAGAAGAAGCATCTTTATGCCCTCAAAAACCATCCAAGGCTGGTGAATGTTGTAGAGGTGCCGAGCTGGCCACAAGCAAGCATCCAAAGTCGCATGAATCTTAGCACAAGCCCCCTTTCAACTTCCCATCACTACAAATTCGAGAATGGCATATCATTCTGCTGTTCATGTTGCCTTTTTCTGCTTCCAATGCCTATAGTTAAAGCATGACCAGCCACTTGTATCAACTTGCGCATGTACTGCTGTGCATGTGCAGTAGCACTTCTGTTCACACACTGCACTGGTTCAGATTCTCTTCAGTCACCTTCTGGCCTGCATTCTTCGCCGAGGGGAGGGCAGTGCTCAGCGCAGTTAACACAGCAGCGTTGAAGTCCACGGGCTTGTGCAAATTCTCCCCCCAGTAGTGAGAATCCAACTTTCGACCGCTCACACAAGCACCAGTCACTGTGGAAAACAGTGGAACGTTTGTGCGCTGGAATGAGAATTTGCTTCCGGAGTTGTCCAGCGAACTTGTGAGCTCTGAAGCAGCTGCAGCCATGTGATGACTGTTCAACGCAACGCCCTTCTTGGTGACCCTATTTGCAACACAGAGCAGCAAATTTGAGATCCTTTCCTCACTTGCATACAATGGAGAGACGCCCTATTTGCAACAGTGCAAAACCTGCATCATTCCGCACTGTTCCCGATAAGCAGACATCAGTCTACCACCAAGACCAGTGCAGGGACTGAGCCCTGTACAGGGACCACTTTGTGAGGTTTAGGTTTGGTTCAGCATGCTCTTTTAGTTTTTCCTAAGTTTAGGTTATGTTGTAGGTTCTTTGGGTTCTTTAGGGTTTTTAGGATCTTGGTATCAGTACCAGTCTTGGTACCTGTCTTGTATCTGCGTATAGGAAACGCCCTCCATCATTCTGTCCTGTGGCCGATACACTGAACAAAGCCCTGCACAAAGTCACCACTGTTTTCGCACAACAAGCTCTTGTCAACACCAGCCTGGTTGGTAGATAACCTCAAACAAGAGGATGAACGTGTCACTAATGCATGAATGCATCTAAGCATCTGCTGCAGGAGGTGCCTCATCTACAGTGTCAACACTCCACTTTGTGCCCCACCTTGCTGACACATTCCTTGCAGAACACCACGACTGAGCAACCTCAATAGCAGGTTTGTCCCCACTCAGAGTCACACTCAGCGGAGAGTCGATGGCAGAGATACAAATTTGTCCCTTCGTGCCCGCATCTAGGTTCAGTCCCCCCAACATACTAGCAGCTGCATCCCTGGACAGGTCAACAGCAAGTGCTGCAGGTTCAAAAGTTGCCTGGCCGAACATTCTGATCCCCAGAGACCGCTGGTGTGCCAGCCACATTGCAGACTCCAAGGACAATGCCCCAGCACAGTATGCTGCAGCCACCTCTCCACTTGAATAGCCCAGAGCACCTGTGCCACAGACATGCACCAGGCTATGACATGAACATGTCAACGATTCCAGTCTTGAATTGCAACCAGCCTTGCACCTGGCTGCAATGGTGCTGCTAAATCGAGTAGAAGCACTGCAAAGCATGGATAACCAGCAACACCAGACGGCACACACAATGGCAGTTCTCGATCAAACAAAGCCAAACAAGGCACACAGTTCTTTCAGTCGAAGAAAATTGACTTCGCTGCTGCCATGGACTGCAGAACAGGGCCATCCTTGCTTCCACCAGTTGCACAAATCTCCAAAGAAGCTTTGTTGACATCTCTGCACACATCAACAATCACACATATCAACAATAATGGCTTGAGCACATACCACATTACATACCCGCTGGTTTGATGCCCTTCGAACAGAGGAGATCTGTCAGTGCGATTTGAAGTGCGGGTATCAGAACCATCGCTTTTGGAGCTGAGGTAACGTTGCTGTCTGCCCCTTGTTTGTGAAGCTCCTCCACGATGTCAAGACCAACTTCCCAGCTCTGGATGGCAGCAGAGCAGCGATCCAGCGTGGCCTTGAAGACAGGCTCATCCCGATACAGACCAGCACCCATCATTGGATACTCCATGCCTTCACCAGGAAAAACAAATAAAATGTTGCCATTCCTGGCCTGAGGGCTTCCTTTCCTCAAGGCGCAGGTGCTGAGATCGCTGACTTTCAGCTCATGAGGAGGTGCCTTGTCGGTGGAAGGCCCAGCAGAGGTTGCACCTTTTTGCTTGCTATCTGCAAGGCACATCAGATTTCAACCCAGGTCATGCCAAACTTGCCAAAATTGCTCACAGAACAGAACCACAAATCAGAGGGACAACACTCTCAAACACCATTCTGTGCTTCATTCCTGTTTTAAGGGGTGCATCTGGCATTCTCACCCTCGAGTTCCTTCAGTGCCTTCTCCAAATTCGTTGTCAGCTCGTTCACAGAATCTCCCAGAATGCATATGCGATGCTCCAGATGAGAGCGGCCATGTATTGCAGCCTGCATTGTGGCTTTGAGGGTGTCAGCGTTCTCCAGGAACCGAGCCTGGTTGCTCTTGAGAAATTCCACCCACACAGCCACCCATTCAGCCAGTGCTTTCTTTGTGTGCGCGCTCAGGGGAAGCACAAGCTGGCCCTGGACAGAGGGGTACAGTGCAGGCCTGTCCCGATGCACAAATTCTTCCAAGATGACATGGGTGTTGCTGCCGCCAAGGCCAAAGCTATTGATGGACATTCGGCGCGGTAGCCCCCGCTGGGGAGTGGGCCAATCCATGCTCGTCTGTGGCACCACAATGCCATAATCATCCAGCGGAATTTCTGGATTCAGCTTCGTGAGGTGAAGACTGCCTGGCATCTTCTTGTGGTACAGCATGAGCGCTGCTTTGGCCAGTGAGCATGCTCCAGCTGCCCCTTCTGTGTGCCCTATCTGCGTCTTGACGCTCCCCACAACAAGCCGATTCTCCCCAGTTCGACTTCCATGCCCTTCCACAACATCAGAACACGTTAGGGGCGCAATGCATGAACACGAACGCCAAGAACTTCCAGCAACATTGTATTTTAGGAATGAAATGAATCCAAGCAACCCCCTTGTTTCTAGAAACACAAAATGAATACAGCATGACCTTGTGTTGGTGAAACAAAATGAACCTAACACCTGACAAAAGAGCCAACAGGAAACACGCAATGCGAAAATGTATCTTATTTGCAGCAAAGTGGGTCTTCCACACGATCCAACACATTCACAGCTGCCGTGCCAATGTGTAAATCCCCAAGCAATAGGAAGCCTGGCGCTCCTTGCAAACTGATCTCCTGATGCCTCTCCTCAGCACCTGGTGACGCTAGCCAACATCTCTGAAGTTTGGATTCCACACATTCTCCAAATCCTTCCGTAACATAGGTCGCCCATCGAAAACTACAAGAGAAGAGAAACAACACAAATTCTGCTCCCCACCCGATTCCTGCACTGACACGAACAGTTTCCGTAAACATTGGGTCAACATACATTGTGCTGCTTGTTAAGAGCCACAGCACACTTGCCTGCGATAAGTGCAGCATGCACAGCGGCCAGTTCAGTCTTGTCCCCAGCATAGGTGCCAGCGCCATGTGCCTCCAAATACTGTGTGTCCTTGGGATCCAAGCCATTTTCGCTGTAGATCCTTTCCATCAAGGCCTGTTGAGCTTCCTGGGAAGGATACGTGGCAGAGTCCTTGGCCCCATCATGGTTCGACATTGTGTCCACAATCGTGCAGTAGATGGTGTTTCCATCACGAACTGCATCGCTGAGGCGCTTCAAGACAATCGCCACAACAGCCTCACCCCTGCCATACCCGTCGGCCGCTGCATCACAGAACTTGCATGTCCCATCGGGGCTAATCGCACACAGCTTTTGCAGGGCTATGTTCAGGTAAGGAGTAGCAAGGTAATTGACGCCCACCTGCAACGGGAATACAAGCCATCAGCTGTGCAACCATGTTGTCGTACAAGCTGCCAGGGCAGAAAAGTGGTTCATGATGCACAGCAGCAAGCGAAGTTAGGAATCAAGTTACTTCCACACGTGACCGGCCACAAAAACATTTGGGAGCAGACCTAACTTAGAGAATACAGGCTCAACAGCACTTGAACAGGAGACATCTGCATCTCAGAAAAGCAGAATCTAAAGGATCTCCAGTTTGGCAATCTGCCAGCTGCAGATCCACCCGGCATCCAAGTCGAGTAAAAGACCTGTGCACAGCCACAACACACGCACGCGAGCCAGCGGCATCAGCAGTCCCCCACGGCCTGACCCCCGCTCCGTTCGCTCCCGTTCAAACGTTAGTATTAGCAGTCGGAAACGGCGTCGAGACAGGCACCATACCCAGCTCACATGCATGCGCCGTCGGCACATTGCGCCCTGGACCCGCTGATCCTGCCCCTTCCCCATCAAACCACCCCCGCCCGCACTCACCACTACGCCCATTTCCGACTGCCCCTGCTGCAGGCCCTCCACGGCAAGGTCCAGGGCCTGCATCGAGCTCGAGCAGGCGGTGTCGACGCTGAGTGACCTGCCCCGGAAGTCGAAGAACGACGACACGCGGTTGGCGCACATCGCCCGCTCGTGGCCCAGCGCCACGTCGCCGGGCGCCGCGTTCAGCCTGTCGATGGTGTCCTGGTTCTCCGCGTGCATCATCCCCACCACGACGTCGACCTTCCGGCCGGCATACGCGCTGGGATCGATCTGCGCGTCCCACAGGGCCTCCACCGAGCACTTGAGCGCGCAGCGATGCTGCGGGTCCATCGCCCGGGCCTCGTTGGGCGACAGCCGGAAGAACGCCGCGTCGAAGTCCGCCATCCTGTCCCCCGCCACGAAGTTGCCGCGAGCGACGGACGTCTTGCCGAACCTCCCGGCGTCCCTGTCGTAGAACGTCTCGTTGCACCACTTCCAGCCCGGCACGAAGTCGCCGGCGTCCTGGCCGCTCATCAGCAGCTCCCAGAACTTGTCGGGCGCGCTGATTGCCTCCCGCCCCGGCACTAGCAGCCCCAGGCCGCAGACGGCCACGCGCTCCCTCATCCTCCCTCCCCGTACTGTCATCGCGTCAGGTCTCCCTCGCGGGTCCCTTGGCCAGATTCCGCCTGCAGTGCATCACAAGAAGCTCCCATCAGGCCTGTACACGCGGCTCGCGTCAAGCCGAAAGAGCTCGCGTGGTCATCACGCAAAGGGTCGCTTGCCTCCGGTAAGACCAGATCGCGCCAAAGTGCCCGCAGTGCGCGCTGCGGCCGGCCTCGGGACAGGCAATCTGAACAGAGAAAATGACCCGGCTTTCGCGACAGCGCAAAACGGGAGGGGAGGGCGGGTGGGGGGGGTCCCGCTCCAGACCTGTCGCGTGCCCGCGCTGCGAGGCAAATCGGGCGCCAAACAGGTACGACAGGGCCAGCGCACCTCCGTCGAACGTCGATCAGCGGGCGCGGCGCTGCGATTGCCACCGCCCTCCGTCCCCCGTCCGGGTGCACGGCAGGCCCCGCCGCTGTCGGCGGGACGGTGGCGGAGCGATCACCGACCGCGGCCGCCGATCGGTCTGTCCTGCCCGGCCTTCGCACCTCGTTAAGGAGTCGCCTGAACTGACCCGTCACGCCTGCGGACTGTGCCACGTCGGCGTGCGACAGTGCGCCATCCTCGGCGTATCAGGCGCATCAGGCGCTGCTTGGTGCTGCTCCGCGCGGCTCAGGGTAAAGTACTGCGAGTGCGGGCCCGGAAAAACGGGGAAGAAAGGCCAAACGGGCCTGGGCGCCCGCGCTAACGTCGGATATTGCGGATAGGGGTTTTGCTGACGCCGGGTTTGCAGATTAGGGGACCTGCTGACAGCCCTGATCCCTTGGAACATGTGGTGCGAGTCTACATCCAAGGAAAACGAGTGCGATGCGCTGATGGCGCCCACGTGGGCCTTGCATACCATATTCCATGCTTGTGTGACTAAATGCAAGCCAAGTTCCTGGAAAGCACCAAGTCAAATCGCCTTGAACTGCTTACGAGCCGTAGTGATCCGTGGAAGACAACCACTCTGGCAGTTTGTCAAGAAAGAATCACAGGTGCCGCAAAAGTTGCCACGAAAAGGGTTGTATCTGTTGGTGGCTTTGAGCGGAGGCCAACGATTCGTACAATGCTGGTCCTGTGCCACAATGGCATGCTGGACGGTGCGCAGCGCTAGAGAGAAATGGCATTAAAAGCACAGCCAAAAGAACACCTTTTGGTCCCATTTCAACACGATTTAACCTCAGACACGCTGTGTGGTCCCATTCCATCATAACACGAAATCAGTTAGAAACTGTGTTAAATGGCAATATTATGTTGTGCTGGATGCTTCGTTAGACCTTACTCAACATCCTGTCATGATTTTGGCCAGCAATATTGCACATTAATGAGGGATAGGAGACGCCCAGGCAGGGAGGTGCAAGGGCGGCGAAGAGGGGTGGACAGGGAGCGGAAGTGCTTTAAGTAGTGCAGAGTCATTCGAGAAGGGCTCTGGCTGTCATGTGTGGGCAAGCCCAAGGGATTATGTGAAGATTGAGGAGTTCGCGATGTCCACGGCATGCTTCGCCGTGAATTTTGGTATTGGCTTTTTGCACGAGGTGCGCCGCACCGTCCACATGCGGCTGTGGCTGTATACGCGCAGTCTGTTGGCACTCTTCACAAGATTCAGGATCTGACTTGGTAGTGGAAGAATGCTCTCGGTGTGTGGGGGACTCTCCGCCGTTCTTGAAGCTATTTGGGGATTCCGCCGGGCAGATGACAGGGTTCCCTGCGACAAATGCACCTGCGAAGGTGAGCTTGGCAATGCTTTTCGTCCTCGTGTTGCTAGGTTCGGTTGCGGGAGAGCCTGGGCCCCTGGACCATAGTGGTGTTCCAAGGCAGCAGCTTCTGGATGTCCTTTGACGTGCAGCTCGTGTCGCACACGCCGCGTGTGAGTTCAGCTGGGAGTAGGGACCATGTATTGTGGCAGCGTAATGCAGGCGGACGTTCAAGATTTGTGGTTGGAGGAATCGTCTCGACCTGCTGTAAAATGGAGTCGTGGTTAGGATAGGTCGCCATTGTTCTTCACATCGGTTCAAACTGATGCAAACAAGCTTGAATGGACCAAATTTCTTTCCTTTACTGCTTGGAGAAAGGCAGGCTTGGTTTTCGCAGCATAACACAAAGCGCATACTTGTGCATTTACGCGTAGCAACAGTACTACGAATCTGTTTGTAAAAAACGTAAAAATAAGTAATGCAAATGCTGTATACATAGAGATAATACTTCAGAGAAGTACATACAGGCTCAGGGATTTAGGGGATTGGCATCCAGACGCGAGGGAGTGGGCGGAAGCGACCTTTGTGGAACAACGTCGCTGTCCTTGCCGAGGGCGAGGTGGACGCTGTGTTGCAGGTGCTCGAGAGGGCGGAGAACTGACCATTGTTTTCAACTTCATTCTGTGACCTGGTTGTCTCAAAGCACAGTGAAAATTCAAAAATACAGCTGTTTCTGTGTTTACGCATCTTTATGCATAAAACTTAACGTAAAGACCAACGCAGGTACAGCTGTCGCTGTTGCCCTTCAGAACTTTCTATACGCGGCCTTTCCCTTTCCCTTTCCCTTTCCCTTTGTTCTTTGCGCTCATGCTATCGCCGAGCACCAGATTCTCAACGCATTCATGTTCAGCTAGTTCAGATTTACGGCGTTGGACGACCCGAATACGAACAACATGTCAAACTCGATATGGAATTCGGGGTTAGCTGGAGGGACAAAAACATGAGAGAGCATTGGGCAGCAGTGCAAACCAGCCAGCCACCATGTGTTGTATGTCAACAATTAGGCAGTGTGCATCACGAGTGGGGGGACAGATGGCGAAGGGCAACCAGACAGGTGGTGTTGGCGCAGGCAGGGGGATTCTGAGGGTGTACTATTCGAGAGCTGAAACGTTCCATCTCCCATCGATTGTTAAGAATCGATGATGCCGTGCCTCTGAGGACGTGATGGGTGAAGATGAATACGGCGATTATCCTGAAGATGATGATCACATGACGTCGGATGTGTCTGACGGAAATGGGAGCCATGACGAAACATTGGAGGAATCTTGATCCATCGTCAAGCTCGACTGGATCCTTGTCTCATTGGGAAATGCCAGGTGCGTTTCATGCATTCAACCATTGGACGATAGCATTGAAAATGTAGCGAACAGTGGAGCAAGATAGTGGAAGCGATTGCCTTGGAATAGCAAGATGCTATCACGAGTACGGGAGGGGATTGTGGGACAAAAGGCACGCTTTCTTGCTTGTATTAAGAATTCACTGCTGAAAATAATCTTTGCTGAAATGGTCCCTTGCATTTGAGCACTGCACAGTTGTGAATCCCCACCGGCTGGAACTGAGCACCACATGTAATTGCCGATCTGTGGACCTGTGTGCAGGCTCTCCGGTAAGGCTGCCAGATTCGGCCCCGCCCATCTAGCGTAAGTCACCGCGGCAGGACCAGAGCCCCTTCCGACCGCGAATCAATCGCAGGCCGCGGGTTTAGCCATCGTGAGAGTCGGGACCATCAAGCTGGTGCTCCGGGATCATCAGCTCTCGATGATTGATGGCAGGGCTTCGGGCTGGGACTTTACGCGTGGGATGCCGCGTCCTGCCGCACCCTTTCGAGATAAGCCCATCAAATCGCGAACGATGGGGCGGCTTCCACGTTGCCAATCGCCATTCGCTAGAAACAAATGCCTGGAGATTCTGACCCAAAGTCGGCATAATTTTCGACATGGGGTCTCCGCGAATAGCAGTGATGTGGCAGGTTCACATACCCTTCAGCGAGCATCCAAGGGGGGGGGGGGGAACGCTGCAACATGTGCCGGTTCCGCACAGACGAAGGCGAAGCATTTGTGATCATTCAGCAGCACCACCGTCCACCAGAGCGCGTCCAGCTGCAAAGCTCGTTCTGTGCCGTGGGGAGCTTGCCTGACAGAGCACGCCGCCCAAGCGATGTCGAGAACACCCCCCAAGTCTCCCCTCCGCTGGCTGCAGCGCGCTGTCAAGGGCATAGAGTTCGAGATCTTCGTCGGCATATGCTTCGTGCTGATGTTCTTCGCCTTCAGACACGTGGTATGCTTCTGCGTATCCGTCTCCTCGCTGCGCTGGGTGCAGCGTGCACAACTTGCCCATCGTGTTGGACGACAGCCATTGTGGCCTCGATGATGTTGTTGCTCAATGAACGGAGCACAATTCTCTGCGTGCGCGTCCCGTTTGGGCTGATTCTTACCACCATAGGTTCTCTGGATTATGTGCAAGGCACATATATGTGCACACAAAAGGATCTTGATTCTCCTTTCACGGCTTGGTATGTGTGCCCACTGCCTGCTATTCCCTGCCTTTCTGTCTCAGCAATTCTGAATGTATGGTACTTGGGGTACCCTTGCAGCCAAACGCAGCTTTGTGCTCTGCATCTGCTCTCCCTAAAATTGGCTCTGAGCTGTTGGCTCTTGCCTGCAGGTGACACAAGACTGGTCGATCATACGCAGGAACCTCAATTAGGCTTGGATTGTTGAAATACGTGCACAATGAGGACTGTGGCGGTGGCAACTTTTTAATCGTGATTCATGGATGCAGTTCCAAACGCAGCAGCACATGCGCAGCCTGGAGAAGTGGTCCTTGATGGATGAAACTGCACAGGACCTTGCAAAGTCGTTTAGGTAGGAATCTCACGTCAAGAGAGGGATGCCCCTATCATGGAGTGTTTCTCTTCTGTTGAAAAGGCAAATTTTGGTAGACATGAAACCTTTCCATTCATCTTCCCTTCCTTGTGGATCTGTTTTCAAATACCCCATCAGCGGTATGTCTCCTGAGGAACTGTGTGTTGTGGGCTTGGTGCGTGTTGAAGTGATGTGCAGCCAGTTGGTCATTTTTTGAGAGATAATGTACATTCTTGCTGTGCATGCTTGCCCATTGAGCATCGCTGGGAACAGAACAGCTTACCACTGCCAGTGTCACTGCAAACATTATGCTACTTGAATCAGTCCAACATAAAGTTCTGCCACAATGACTGCCCGCTGCACACACAGGGGCAACAGGGGC